TAGATAGATAGATAGATAGATAGATAGATAGATAGATAGATAGATAGATAGAAAGAAAGAATACAAAACAAGACATGATAGAAACCAAATAAGGAAACACTAAAACTGTTCTTTCGTTTCTTTTGTAGGTTGCTCTCTGATTCTCAACAGCTGGACATTTTAAGAAAAGCACGATCTTATATAAAAGAAGAAAAATTTGATGAAGTAGTAAGTATATAGGCCTTGGGGTCAGGGCAGGGTGAGCGGTGCATGGGGAGCACATCAGGCAGGCTAGGGGGTTTCTTGGCACGGGACTTTAGCCTCAGAGACCCCCCCCCCTTCAGGGAATCAGTGGCTACAGTCTTCTAGCTTGTCTTTAGAAAGAAACTATATTGATGCTTTTATTTTATTTTTTATTTTTAATGAGAAAATTAAGTTCGAGTAACCATCAACCTTATTACGGGATAGAGCACCACATTTGCCACTTATAGCACCATATTCATACCAAAGCTTTGACTCTAGTCATTTCTGCCCCACTGTTATTTCTGTATTGTGTTGTTTTGTATTGTATCATATTGTATTGTATTTACATTACAGGCTAATGTACTTAATACATAGGGTCCTGTGCATGCTAAGTAAGCACTCTATTATTGAGCTGCACCCCAGCCCTATTTTATTTATTTATCAATTTGTCTACTTACTTACATTTCTTATTTGATTTTTTAGACGGAAATTGCTCAGTTGAGCAGGCTAGTGTCAAAACTGTCCTAGCTCATCCTCTAAAGAAGTTGGCATTGCAGACCTTGTCACTGTGCCTCACTAAAAATTCTACTTCTATTTTTAAAAAGTGCCTAATTACCAGTATCTGTACTTGTAATTTTTTTAATTATGATTTTTAAATTTAGGTTTTTCCCTGGTGGTATTTGAGCGCAGGGTCTCTCATATGCTAGGTCAGCATTCTACCACTTAACTACATCCCCAGCTCACTAAACTACATCCCCAGCTCACTAAACTGTTCTTCTCTAACATATGGTTATTTTGGTGACATTTTATCATAGACTTGCATATGATATGAAAGTAAAATACATACATATGCATACATGCTTACATATGTATATACATATGGGCATTTCCATTATTTGAGATATATACTAGAGAACATTTATTTCCTGTGTATGTCATCTGAGGACCACTTCTGCATAATAAATTACTCTAAAACAGTAAGTAGATCACAGATAAGATGAATTCTATTAAAATGCCCTATCTTCCCAAAATAAAAAGTATGTTTTATTCTGAGATTTTTTTCATATTTTCCAAGAAGATCCTCTCAGTGGAAGTCTGCTGAGAATCTTACTCTTATCTAGAGTTACTCACTCTATTCTACTGTAGTGGTATGCCTCTATGAAATGCCAGTTTTCTGTGGCGTGAGAAACTTGGTTTTCGTTGTTTCACTGTACAAGTTTATATATGTTTTGTCCCCATAGGTCTCCCTCTGTGAGGAATTGATTGATCTAGCATTGAAAGGATTGTCCTATTATCACACTTATGACAGACTCTTTTTGGGCATCAGTGTTGCAGCTGGTTTTGTGGGATGGACATCTTACACTTCTTTGTTAATCATCAGATCTCATTCTAATATCCCAAGAGGCATTAGGAAGGAAGATAAGGTAAGTTCAGATGTAACAGAGATTCATATGATAGTGTCAGCAGGACTATAAACTAAGAAACTGAATCAAATAATGCAAAGTGAATTCAGAATATTGTAAGACTACATGAAGTGATGTGTCTTGTCTTTTCTTTCTTCTTTTTTCTTTTCTTGTGTTTTTTGTTGTTTTCAGTGACAAAGAGGATACATTGATAACACTGGCTCTTTTAAAAGAAATGCATATGAATAAGTTCTTCTGTAGTAGTCTTAATGATACTGTTCTTTTTCTTTTCTTTTTTTTTTTTTTAAGTAACTACTCAGTGTAAGTATTCCACATACTTCTAAGATAGGCTATACAGACGCTAACCTGGAGACATGGCTCAGAGGCTGAGAGTGCTTGCTGCTGTTGCTGAGGACAAGAGTTTAGTTCCTAGTGCCCATATCAGATAGCTCACAACCACCTAGAATTCCAGTTCCAAGGACTCTGGTATTTTCTGGCCTCCCTGGACATCATTACAAATGACACATAAATTTATGCAGGCACATACATAGACACATTAAAGAAATTATGTTTTTTAAAGCCTCTTCAAGCTGGTTGTGGTGGTGCACAGTTTTCATCACAGTACTCAGGAGGCAAAGGCAGGTGGATTTTTAAGTTCAAGGCATGCTCATCTACAGAACACATACCAGGACAGCCAGGCATACACAGAAAAACCTATCTCATAAAAACAGAAATATAAAATAAAACAAACCACTTCAAAGCAATATATTTATCATTAGCTCATATTAAGATCTAGACACAGTAAATTCATTGTTTTAAATATTCTTTTAAAGTAATATTTATGCTTCTCTGAATTTTTTCCTCTTTTAGCTTTCTGACATTATAAATTTACAGTTTTTTTTAAAACCTTATTTAACAATGATTTAATTGGGGCTGGAAAGGTGGCCCAGAGGTTAAGAGCCCAGGCTAAGTAGTATCAAGAACCTAGGTTCAGTTTGCAGCACCCATGTGGTGACTTATAACTGTTTGTAATTCCGGTTCCTGGGAATCTGAGCCCCTACCTCTGGCCTCCACGGGCACAAGGCATGTGCATAGCATTGAAGCAAACACTCATACACATAAAATAAAAATAAATATTTTAAACAATGAATGATTTAATTACTCCAATGTATTTGAAGTTGGCTGTAATGTGAATTATTTTCTGCATGTTAGGAAAATACACAGAAATGACTATGTTTTAGTAGATATATCTAGGAATTTTAGTGAGTCCTTAAAATGTATGCTTTTTTTTTAACCTTCATTTAAGATTTATTGTGCTTTAAATGAAAGGAAAAGCTCAAGCCTCTAAACCAGTGGCTCTCAACCTTTCTAAAGTTGTGATCCTTTAATACAGGTCCTTATAGTGGTGACCCCTAACTATAAAATTATTTTCATAGCTACTTTATAGCTGTACTTTTGTTACTGTCATGAAACATAATGCAAATATATATTCTGATGATCTCAGGTAATCTCTCTGAAAAGGTCATTCAAGCCCTCAAAGGGGTTGCTACCCACAGGTTGGAAATCACTGCTCTAAACAGAGGAAATAACAGTACATAAATGGTTTTATGCATTAAAGCACTTCCCTATCTTAAAGTATGTTGCTGACTGTCATTCACTGGGCAGAATATCCTACCTCCATTTCCTTTGCTTTCTTCTCTCTAATAACTCTTACCATCCAAATCTTCTAAAAAGTAATGTCTTTTGCTAGTATATTTTTAATAGTAATAGTCTGTAAATAACATTTTTAGTGATAACCTGTACCATTTTATATTTCATTTGTCTATAATGTAGAGAAGAACATTATTGTTTAATTTCAATTTTTAAAAGTTCTATAATGCATCTTAAATAATTTCTTCCAAGTAATTTTAATTATTTCATTGTGTTTGAAGTTTGCTGTAATGGGAATTATATCCTACATGTTAGGGAAATATACAGAAATGGCTATGTTTTGAAATGGAGAGATATATCTGGGAATTCTACTGAGTTCTTGAAATGAATACTGCAGTCTTCTAACTGTGCATTCTAACTTCTGTTTACAAAAGATGAGACTGAACTAAGGGAAATTAACGAACTTGGTAAGAGCCTCCCAGCCAGGTTGTAGGGGACTGAAATCTGAGCCTTTGTGCTAAAGATGGCTTTTTTTTTTTCTTGCTGTTCAGAATATTGAAAAAAAAAAGATTGTTGTTAACATGTGAAGAATTCATGATTGATAGTTTCTTTTTGTTTATTAATTTGATAGTGCAGTCAGTATTTAATTGAGGGTACAGTACAGTGCGAGTTGTTCTACAGAGAAATACAAGATTCAGATTTTACCATGAAAAGTCACAGTATTAAAGTAGGTAAGAAACAAACACACATAGCCACCTTCCATGGCATTGGTATATCATACTACCTTACTGTATGTGTTTAAGATGATACAAGGACTATCATATTTTAAATAAAAGAGAATCTGTCATTTTGATAACAGTAAAAAAGTAAGTCTGGTGTAAGTTTATTTTTTAAGACTTATTTTTAATTATGTGTCTGTATGTGTGTAGGAGGGTATGTGGAGGTGACTGCTGAAGCTTGTGGAAGTCAGATGCACCAGATCTCCTGGTGCTAGAGTTACAGGTGGTTGTAAGCTGTCTAGAATGGAAGCTGGTATATGAACTTGGGTCCTCTGCAGGAGCAATATATACTGTTAGACACTGAGTTGTTTCTCCACCTTTTTGCTGGAAGTTCAGACTGTAGTAAGAGGAGAAAAATTCAAACAGGTTGAATATTACAAGAAAAGGGAAGCTTATCTTTATTGATCTCCATCTTTTCCAAGTGTAGCATACCCTGGATGCTTTATGAATGTTTTCAGTTAGGGTTAACCTTACTGCGATTTTGGTGATTTTATGATTCTCATAATATGGAAGGGAGATTGAGGTTTAGATAATTTGACCATATTGTATCAACTCTAGGATAGTCAAATTGTTTTTTAGACACTCTCATATATTTCATTTATTATTTTACTCTTTTCAAAATAGTGTGAATGAGTTCTTATCTCTTACAATCAATTGCAGTCTTAGCCCCTTTCAATTTTTGAGTTCTCGTCTATCCACACTTATTTAAATATGCCCTTCTTTCCCTCACATACTTGCTATTGGACCTCTGTTTTCTTTATTTCTTGTGCTATTACTGAGAGATTCTATAATTTCTTAGATTAATGTAAAGGAGAATAAAAATAAGAGCCATCATTTATTAAGCAGCAATAACATTCTAGTTACTTTGTTAAGCCCTTTGTAATCTGACTTTTATTACCAACTCTGATAAATATGCATAAGTTTATTGTTCCCGTATTATGGATAAAACAAAACTTTTTCTAAGAAAAGCTTTGTATTTTGAATTGATCTTTCCCATATTAGTTGTTAATTAAGAAAATGTTGCACAGATATGCTGGCAAGCCAATCTGTTGGAAGCAGTTCCTCATTTGAGGTTCCCTCGTTCCATGTGTATAAAGCTGACAACTAAGTTCACCCATCACAGTATCATGGCCAGTTTATGAATATCTCATTCTTAGTTACAGTGCCGTGCTTCAGCCTCTTTTACAGCAGTCCTAACATCCTTGATCCTTACTCCATAAGATTTTATGCCAGTAGAGAAAAACATCAAAACAGCATGGGAATTACTTAATATTTTCTTCTTCCTCCTTAAATTTTGTGTATTTCCAGAAAGAGGTTTTTAATTCCCACTGCTTTTATCTAAGCTAACAGGCTGAGGAAACATTAAACATAGAAAGGAGACAGAAGAGCACTCCCCCTTTTCCCCTGCCACCCAGTTCCTTTTTTTCTCTCTAGGCATATCTAACGTCTTCTGAAGGCACTTAGTGTACTTTGTACCATGTTGTAGTGGCTGCTGCATACCTCAGAACTCTAGTTCTTAGCATTGTAACTTCCCTAAAATGTACCCTTCCCCCAGTGGGACTGTATCCCGGACCCCTTGCACTCACACCTGGCCCAGAGCATCAAGGAGCCTTGGTGAAGTTGGCACTAGTGACTAACATTAGGGGATTCTTTATTCGGCAGGTGGTTGAGGAGTGTAAATATGGATGAAGGAACCAACTGTGTTTAGGCAATGGGAGAGAGTCAAGTGGGCAGCATGGCAGGTTGGAGCTTGAATATGCAGAAAGTGTTCCAAATGAAGAATGTTTCATTGTGTGGCTTGTGAGCTAGCCACAGAAATGGCTCAAAACTTATGCATATAAAAAAAGAACTTTTCCAAGATGAACTATGTTCAGAGCTCTGAATGAGTTATTTACAAACCAACTTTAGGCCCATTGCCACTCTGTGTCAGAGAATTGCCTAATTCTAGGATAGCCAGTTTCTGTCCTGATATGCTGTCACTTTCAAATGACAGAATTTTTTTTTTTTTATTTTGAAAGAACTCTGATTAATCATCTAGTTATGGAAACATAGAAAGAAGATATTTTTCCTCTTTGTAAACTCTTGAAACTATTAATCAACATAGGTTTGGATGTATTTGAGTGTTGTGTTTCATTTTCAGAAGCCACACCACCTCCTACCATGTAGCTTTGTAGCTATTGGTGTCTTAGTAGCATGCTTTCTGCTGATCCAAGCCTGTCCCTGGACTTACTATGTGTATTGCTTGCTGCCAGTGCCAATATGGTATGCAGTTCTAAGAGAGTAAGTATCATGCCTTTCTGCTTTGTTTTCTACTTACTAGCAGTTAATTCTGTATGCAAAATTCACTATATTTCTATAGCATAAGTCATAAATGATGGCTGTAATACTCTCAGATGTCCCAGTTGTCTTCAATTCATTTACAACTGCATAAGGCTGCATATTAAGCATCCCTTTTGTGTTATCCTTTTGTCTTCACCTATGTTTCCTTGAAGAAGCAGTGACCTGTTCTTTTCTTTGAGTGTGAAAATAGAGAATAAAATAACATAATTAATATTACTGTGCTGTGTCATGAGTACTTTGCATCTTGAATTTGTTTTGTCATCTTGTATTTCAGAGTTTCTTCAGTTTTGCAAGATTTGTGTGTTTTCTTTCTATACATCTTACTTTTCCTTTCTTAGCCATCAAATTAATGAAACTTTGTAATTATATCAAATCTATTAATGTGTGCTGACAGAGACCCTACACTATTCACATATACTGTGGTTCTGTCTTCAAGAACTTCCTCACCATGGCCTAAAAGTAGCTTCTTACTATTATAGTCACCCTGGAAAGGAAGATAGTCAGGTTTTAAGCTGACTGGGGAGACAGACTCAGGGTGATCTGCATTTCCAGGTCTGGGCTTCATAGGGAAAAGCTGCCTACAAACAAAACAAAGCAACTGGTTAACGTGTGTGCTGACAGTATATATTTTTATTGTAATGTTTGTTGACTGTAGCTTTGACTACTACTACCTTATAAAAGATATTAACATATAATAAATAAAATGTGGAAATGCTTCAAATATCTTTAAATATAAAGGAAAAAAAGGGTTCTGAGCAAAGAACACTGTGACTTCACCATGTAAAAGGAGCAAGACTGTTTATTTGCTTAGTTTGCTCACCTGTTTTTCTGACATTTCTCTGGTTACAGAATGTTCTAAAAGGTTTCCCAGCCAGGTAGTAAATTCTGTTCTATTATGGAACGCCTTCTGAATTATTAAATAGCCTAATTGTAAAGATAATATATGTATAAAATTGTAAGGGAAGATGTGATTTTGCAGATGTTTTATTTCATGTCTTTAATAGATGGCATGAAAAATAAAACAAAAAATGTGAGTTTTCAAGCTGACTAGATGGCTCCAAGGCACTTGGTTCCCACGAGGTAATTAGGAGGGAGCAGATTCCTACAACTGTTTCTCTGACCTCCATTGTCGATGCACACTGTGGAGCAGACACCCACACTCATAACACCCAGTAAATAAATAAACAAACAAACAAACAAATAAATAAATATTTCATCACATTTTTTTCTAGAATCAGACCCCTCCAAAATGACTTCATTTACCTCTTGGCTTATTCACAGTTAAAAATGAAAGAGATATTCTCTTTCTGGTACGAACTTTTTTTCCGTAGATGGCTGCTTAACAGTGTGATATCATTTAGTCTATAGCCATTGTTTTCAATCAGAAAAAGGTCATAAGCTGAATGACACTGGCCTTTTATAATTACCTACTTAATGCTCTACAAATGCTAATGTTTTTTTTCTTAGTGATGAAATGCAAAATGTACTCAAGTATGTAATATATTTTTGGTGGTTATAAATTCTCAATTACAATTAGTGTACAATTAATGACATCTTATATTGGGTTTGGAAAAGGTTATTTGGCTCAGTTAAAAAGTACAATTAAGCTGGGAGTAGTGGTGCATGTCTGTAATTCCATCTCCTCGGGAGGGTAAGGCACAAAAACTGGCATTTTAAGACCAGCCTGGATGACTAAATAAAGTTTAAAGGAAAAGGCAGGGGTTTCAGCTTCGCGTCAGAGTGGATGTCCGATATGTGTATGTATAGAGTCCTAGGTTCAGTCCTCAGTACTGCAAATAAATAGGCCAATAAATAAGTGCATTTAAGACTTTCCCTTAGAAGGCTGCGGGTATAGCTCAGTGATAGATAGAAAGTCAACCTCATGAGTTTCAGTATTTTGTTTTCAATTTATATATATTTGCATTCATTTAATTTTATTTCTGATTTATCTGTAATACATGTACCTTTGTTTAAACTGAGGTCATACAAAAATCACTCATGAAAATTAAGCAAATGCTTGTCATCATTTTTCCTAAAATACTTACAGATTTCCACAAATAAAAGTAAACAAAGTTGTTAGAACAAAATGTTACAGTTTATCTTAAAATTTAAATAATTTATGAATGGAAACTTCTGGGATTTTTAGCTTTGTGAAGTTCTTAGTTTTTGCATTATCTTACTAATTCTAGGATGTTATACAAATTATAAGGAATCTTTTTGTAAATCATCTTAAACAGATACCAAGTTATTCAAGACCTGGTTGCATCACTATTGACTTTTCCTCTGAGCCGTTTTGTTGACTACTTGCTTACTTTTATCTTCGGCATTGAAGTACTGGTAAGTAAAGTGGATTATATGTCTGGGTATCTTAGTGCGTTTCTATATGGCTGGTCTTTTTTAAAATTATTTTTATTAATTACAGTTTATCCACTTTGTATCCCCCCTGTATCTCCCTTCCTCCTCCCCTCCCACTCCCACCGTCCCTCCTTCTACCCCACATGTGCCCCTCCCCCGGTCCACAAATAAAGAAGGTCCTCCTCCCCTTCCCTCTGATCCTAGTCTATCAGATCTCATCAGGAGTGGCTTCATTGTCTTCTTCTATGGCCTGGTAAGGCAGCTCCCCCTTCAGGGGGAGGTGATCAAAGAGCAGGCCAGTCAGTTCCTGTCAGACACAGTCCCTGTGCCCATTACTGTGGAACCTACTTGGACATTGAACTGCCATGGGCTACCTCTATGCAGGGGTTCCAGGCCATCTCCATGAGTGGACCTTGGCTGGAGTATCAGTCTCAGAAAAGACCCCTGGGCCCAGACTTTTTGGATCTGTTGCTCTTTTTGTGGAGCTCCTGTCCTCTCCAGGTCTTACTATCTCCCCCTTCTTTCATAAGATTCCCTGCACTCTGCCCAAAGTTTGGCTATGAGTCCCAGCATTTGCTTTGATACAGTGCTGGGTGGAACCTTTCGGAGGCCCTCTGTTGTAGGCTACTGTCCTGTTCCCTAAGTAACCTTACTGCTCATCTTTGCAATTTATCACCAGGTGCTCAGCTTCTTCTACCGTTGCATGCTGACAGCTGGACTGATTGTGTTTGCAGGTTGGCCGTTTCTTACTCAGCTGTGGACCCGAGCAAAGGTATAAGTACTCATGTTGGCAGGACAGACTAGTAAATACTTGGGGTTGATATGTGTTTACTCAAAGAATTGTTTATTTTTAAACAAAGGAGTGGAATGCACCCACATACAATGGGCCAGGTCCTTTAGAAAGGAGGGCTGACATCAACTTTCAGTCTCTCTGATTTATATGTTTTTGTGTATGTTCGCGTGCATGTGTGTATGTGTGTATGTTTCTGACGGAATTAGAGATGTAGAGAGGCTATATGGCAAAGCTGGCTTATTTGGAGCACTCATGGAGCTTCTGGTACCTGGAGAGGAAGAAGTCTGGGCACTGCTAAGAGCAGCAGAATGGCTAAGAGATCCACACTCCAAGCTCCAGTCTGAGCAGTAAACTCCTGTGTACCATTCACACAGTTCTTTTCCAGGGAAGTAGCAATAAGTAGACTGTGTTTTTTAAAAAGCACATGAAGTTGGGAGGGATTTTGACCAAAGCACATGTGTAAAAATTTCAAACAATAAACAAACCCAAAACAAATAGTAATTTAAGGTAACCATATTTGTAATGGTAGATCTTGGCTGTGAGCCAGATGGGATTAAGAATCACTGTAGAGGGCTGGAGAGATGGCAACCACATGGTGGCTCACAACCATCTATAGTGATATCTGGTGTCCTCTTCTTGCCTGCATAGTATAAATAATAATAAATAAATCTTTGAAAAAAATTATTTAAAAAATGGGTCAATATTTAAAAATAAAAGAATCACTGTAGAAACGAGGTTTTCGAATGTCTGAGGGATTTTCTAAATCAGGATAAACAAGCTGAAAAGTCCCACCTGAACTACTGGATTATAATAAAAGAAAAGAAGAAAAGCCAAAGTTGAGCCACGACATTGATTTTTCTCTGCTTCTTGACTGCTTGCAGTGTAGCTAAGTGTCTCAGGCTCTTGCTGGCTGTCATGACTTTCTCCATCATGATCTCCATCTGTGGATCTAGGAAGGCAAAAACAAATCATTCCTTCCTTAAGTTGCTTCCTTTCATGCATTTTGTCATTACAAAAGTAACTAACACAGTATAAATAATAAATAAATACCAGACAGCTTTTGCTTTTCGTTTCAGTTATGTAGTGTGTGGGATGCCAAAAACAGATTTCTGTTTCTTTTTCTACCATATTTGTCTAAATACATTTTTTCTTGATTGTAGATTACCTGCCTGAGTTGGGCTTTCTTCTCATTACTTCTAGCAGTGTTCCCACTGATGCCTGTTGTGGGTAGAAAGCCGGACCTTTCTCTAGTGTATGTACAATATTATCTTGCATTCCTATAGAATTTGTCATTGATACTACGACATTTAAAGACAATTCTCTCTCTTGTGCCATATGTATATGGGTATCCATGAAGGCCATATGAGGATGTGAGATCCCTTGGATCTGGGTTATAGGTGTCTGGGAGCCACCTGATGTGGGTGCTGGCAAGTGAACTGGGATCCTTTGCTGGAGCGAAAAGTACTCTTGATTGCTGAGCCACCCCAGCTCATAGTGTAGATTTTCTTTATTTTAAATATTAAAGAATTTAATTACACGTGAAAGTCTTCTGTTTTTCAGATGTTGTCTTTGAGTGTATCCATAATCAAGTGCCACTGAAAATGAAAATTTGTCTTATTTTAATTTAATTTTTTCATGAGAAAAAATCTATATAGTTTGAAAGTTTTCATTTATTTTGTGTTGTGTTATTTTGTTTTGTCTGTACAACTAGGAATGAACCCCAGGACCTTGTACTTGCTAGGCAGTTTTTCTATGTTTAACCATTCAAATTGTATAAAAAAACATTCTTTATTCTATGATATATTCTAAAGCCTTCTGTGTCCGGGGATTGTAGGCATGTATACCACCCCATTCCTTTCTTTTTTCTTTTTTTAATAAATCACGTAGTTACCATTGCTGCTTACTTCTGCGTGCTCTAGGCATTTTTAAAAAGCAGTTTAACCCAACCTTTAATAGATAAAGATGGATCTGTTTGTTTTTAACAGTACAAAGATTAACTGAATATTTTTAAGTGTGTTAATTTAAGAAATTATGTCATTTCTTTGCCTGTTGACTTTCCTGCTTTCTAACAACAACAACAACAACAGACTTAATCAGGAATTGTCTTAGGAATGCGGTTTATAATCGAGCCCAATAATTGTATTGAATTATAAAACCACACCATCTAAGCCAGACTTTCACAGTTAAAATTTTTGGAATTTTGTCAAGCTTAAATAGAAACTAAATTCAAATACTTTTATTTATTTATGTATTGATGCAGATTGTCCTTTGAATTCTTCTGGTGCCTTTGTAAAACCCTTTCATGTCTTATATCAGCCTCTGTCCATTTGTGCTGTTCAAGCGCTATTGACATAGTTAGGGAGAAGATATGCTGAAAGAATAAATGGTATAAATGATCTATCTCCATAGAAAATTTCCACTTGCATCTTTCTCTTTAAACTTGATTTAAATTTCTATTAATCTTAAATTCATTTTGGTTTCCTGTGATTATTTGCAGTTTTATTCTTAGTTCATGGAGAAAGTTCTGTCTCTATTTACTCTCCCATACCAATTTCATCCTCTTGATTGCAGAAACAGATAAGTGAAACATTTAAGGATAAAATAAGAAGAGAAAGAAGACAGGTATATAGTGTTACTGTAAGCCCTGTGTACTAAAGCAAAGCAGTTGCCAGTGAGTTAAAATGCAATTAATTAAATAATTAATTAATTAATTACTTGCAATTTATTTTATTTTAATTTTCTATTTTTATTATTAATTATATTTTATTAACTCTGTATCCCAGCTGTGTCCCGCTCACTCATTCCCTCCCAATCCCATCCTCCTTCCCTCATCTCCTCCCTGCCCCTCTCCAAGTCCACTGATAGGGGAGGACCTCCTCCCCTTTCATCTGACCCTGTTTTATCAGGTATCTTCAGGACTGGCTGCAGAGTCCTCCTCTGTGGCCTAGCAGGGCTGCTTCTCCCTTGGGGGGTGGGGAGGTCAAAGAGCCTGCCATGAGTTTCTGTCAGAAATAGTCCCTGTTCCCCTTACTAGGGTAACCCACTTGGTTACTGAGCTACTATGGGCTACATCCGAGCAGGGGTTCTAGGTTATATCCATGCATGGACCTTGGTTGGATAAACAGTCTCATATAAGACTCCTGTGCCCAGATATATTTGGTCCTTGTGGAGCTCCTATCCTCTCTACGTCATACTAACTTCCCCTTCTTTCATATGATTCCCTGCACTCTGTCAAAGGTTTGGTTATGAGTCTTAGTATCTGCTTTGATACGCTGCTAGGTAGAGTCTTTCAGAGGCCTTCTGTGGTAGGCTCCTGTCCTATTACTTGTTTTCTCCTACATCAATGCACATGCCATTTGTCTTTCTAAGGGAGGATTGATTATCTTACCCTGGGTCTTCTTTCTTGTTTATCTTCTTCAGGTATATAGATTTCATTATGTTTATCATATCTTATAGGTCTGTATAAGTGAGTATATACCATGTGTGTCTTTCTCCTTCTGGGATTCCTCAGTCAGAGTGATCTTTTCTAGATCCCACCATTTGCCTGCAAATTTCATGATTTCCTCATTTTTGATTGCTGAGTAGTATTCCATTCTGTAAAAATACAACAATTTCTAGATCCACTCCTCCATTGATGGACATCTGGGTTGTTTCCAGGTTCTGCCTATTACAAATAAAGCTGCTACAAACATGATTGAGCAAATGTCCTTGTTGTGTACTTAAACAACTTTTCCATATATGCCGAAGAATGGTATAGCTGGGTCTTGAGGAAGCACTATTCCTAATTTTCTGAGAAAGTACCAGATTGATTTCCAAAGTGGTTGTAACAGTTTACATTCCCACCAGCAATGGAGGAGGGTTCCCCTTTCTCCACAACCTCTCTAGCATGTGTTGTCATTTGAGTTTTTGATTTTAGCCATTTTGATGGGTGTAAGGTGAAATCTCAGGAACATTTTGATTTGCGTCTCTCTGATGGCTAAGGATGTTAAGCATCTCTTTAAGTGTTTCTTTGCCATTCTGTATTCCTCTACAGAGAATTCTCTGTTTAGCTCTTTACCCCATTTTTTTAATTGGATTATTTGATTTATTGCTTTTTAACTTCTTTAGTTCTTTATATATTCTAGATATCAGCCCTCTGTCAGATATAGAGTTGGTGAAGATCCTTTCCCAGTCTGTAGGCTGTCATTTTGTTGTAACGACAGTGTCTTTTGCTTTACAGAAGCTTTTCAGTTTCATGAGGTCCCATTTATTCATTGTTGCTCTTAGAGCCTGTGCTGTTGGTGTTCTGTTCAGGAAGTTGTCTCCTGTACCAATGAGTTCTAGGCTCTTCCTCACTTTTTTTTCTAACCGATTTAGAGTATCTGGGTTTATGTTGAGGTCTTTGATCCACTTTAGTTTTGTGCAGGGTGATAAATATGGATCTATTTTTATTTTTCTGCATGTAGACATCCAGTTAGACCAGCACCATTTGTGGAAGATACTGTCTTTTTTTCCATTGAATGGTGTTGGCTTCTTTGTCAAAAATCAAGTATTCATAGGTGTGTGGGTTTATTTCTGGGTCTTCTATTCGGTTCCATTGATTCTCCTTTCTATCTCTATGCCAAACTATTCAGTTTTTATTACTATTGCTTTGTAGTACAGCTTGAGATCAGGGATGGAGATACCTCCAGATGATCTGTTGTTGTACAGGATTGTTTTGGAGATTCTGGGTTTTTTTCTTTCACCATATGAAGCTGAGAATCTTTTTTTCAAGGTCAGTAAAGAATTGTGTTGGTATTTTGCTGGGAATTGCATTGAATCTGTAGATTGCTTTTGGCAGGATGGCCATTTTCACTATGTTAATCCTACCAATCCTTGAGCACGGGAGATCTTTCCATCTTCTGAGATCTTCAATTTCTTTCTTCAGAGACTTAAAGTTTTTTTTTCAAACAGGTTTTTCACTTGCTTGGTTAGTGTCACACCAAGGTACTTTATGTTATTAGTGACTCTTATGAAGGGTGTTGTTTCCCTAATTTCTTTCTCGGCCCTTTTGTCTTTGGTATACAGAAGGACTTCTGACGTTTTTGAGTTGATTTTGTATCCAGCCATTTTGCTGAAGGAGTTCTCTGGTTGAATTTTTGGGGTCGCTCATGTGTACTATCATATCATCTGCAAATAGTGAAACTTTGACCTCTTCCTTTCTGATTTGTATCCCCTTGATCTCCTTTAGTTGTCTTATTGTGTTAGCTAGGACTTTGAGTACTATGTTGAAGAGATATGGAGAGAGTGGGCAGCCTTGCCTTGTCCCTGATTTCAGTGGGATTGATTTAAGTTTCTCTCCATTGACTTTGATGTTGTCTATAGGCTTGCTGTATATTGCCTTTACTATGTTTAGGTATGTGCCTTTTATATTCCTGATCTCTCCAAGACTTTAAACATGAATGGGTGTTGGACTTTGTCAAATGCTTTTTCAACATCTAAGGAAATGATCATGTGGTTTTTCTCCTTCAGTTTGTTTATGTGGTGAATTACATTGATGGATTTCCGTATGTTGAACCTCCCTTGCATGCCTGGGATGAAGCCCTACTTTTTCATGGTGGATGATATCTTTGATGTGTTCTTGGATTTGGTTTGCAAGTATTTTATTGTGTATTTTTGCACCAATGTTCCTAAGAGAGATAGGTCTGAAGTTCTTTTTTTTTGTTGGGTCTTTGTGTGGCTTAGGTATCAAGGTGACTGTGGCTTCATAGAATGAGTTTGGTAATGTTCCTTCTGTTTCTATTTTGTGTTATAGTTTGGAGAGAATTGGAGTTAGCACTTCTTTGAAGGTCTGGTAGAATTCTGCGCTGAATCTATCTGGCCCAGGGCTTTTTTTGGAAGGGAGATTGTGATGACTGCTTCAATTTCCTTGGGGGATATAGGACTATTCAATCTTTCTACCTGATCTTGACTTAATTTTGGTAGGTGGAATCTATCAAGAAAATTGTTCATTTTTTTTAGATTTTTGAATTTTGTGTCATATAGGCTTTTGTAGTACGACCTATTGATTGTTTGGGTTTCCTCCGTGTCTGCAGTTATGTCCCCCTTTTCATTTCTGATTTTGCTGATTTGGATAGTTTCTTTCTGCCTTTTAGTTAGTTTGGCTAAGCATTTGTCTATCTTGTTGATTTTTCTCAAAGAACCAGCTTTTTGTTTCATTGATTCTTTGAATAGTTTTATTTGTTTCTAATTGATTGATTTCTGCCCTGAGTTTGATTATTTCCAGCCGTCTGCTCCTCTTGGATATATTTGCTTCTTTTCTTTCTAGGGCTTTCAGTTGGGCCATTAAGGTGCTTGTATAAGATGTCACAAATTTCTTCTTGAGGGCACTTAGTGCTATGAATTTTTCTCTGAGCACTGCTTTCATTGTGTCCCATAAATTAGGGTATGTTGTACCTTCATTTTCATTGAATTCTAGGAAGTCTTTAATTTCTTTCTTTATTTGTTCCTTAACGCAGCAACCCAGCTGTCATTGAGCAGCAAGTTGTTCAGTTTCCATGTGCTTGTACGCTTTTTTCTAATTCCATTGTTGTTGAGGTCCAGCTTTAGTCCATGGTGGTCAGATAGAATACAGAGGAATATTTCAATCTTCTTGTATCTGTTGAGGCTTGCTTTGTGACCAACTATATGGTCTATTTTGGAGAAGGTTCCATGAGGTGTTGAAAAGAAGGTATATTCTTTTGAGTTTAGTTGGAAAGTTCTGTAGACTTTTATTAGGTCCATTTGATTTAGGACCTCTGTAAGTGCCTTTATTTCCTTTATAGGCTTCTGTCTAGATCATCTGTCCCTTGGTGAAAGTGGGGTGTTGAAATATTCCACTATTAAGGTGTTGGGATCGATGTGGGATTTAACTTTTAATGTTTCATTTATGAATGTAGGCACTCTTGTATTTGGGGCTTAGATGTTCAGAATTGTGATATCCTCTTGGTGGATTTTTCCTTTGATGGAGAATGTAGTGTCCCTCCTCATCTTTTTTGATTAATTTTGGTTGAAAGTTTATTTTATTAGATATTAGGATAGCTACTCCATTTTGTTTTCTGGGTCCATTTGCTTGAAAAACCTTTTCCAGTCCTTTATTCTGAGGTAGTGTTTATCTTTGTTGCAGAGGTGCATTTCTTGGATGTAGCAGAATGTTCTATCCTGTTTCTGTACCCATTCTGTTAGTCTGTGTCTTTTTATTGGAGAATTGAGTCCATTGATGTTGATAGATAATAGTGACCAATTAACGTTAGTTCCTTTTATTTTGGAGTTGGTGGTCTTACTGTGATTCATTACTTGTTTTCTTTTAATTTTTGTTGGGATATTATCTGTGTGCTCTGTTTTCTTGGGTGAAGTTGTTTTCATTGGGTTGGAGTTTTCTTCCTAGTATCTTCTGTAGGGCTAGTTTGCTGTGTAGATATTGCATAAATTTAGTTTTGTCATGGAATATTTTGTTTTCTCCATCTATGTTGTTTGACAGCTTTGCAGGGTATAGTAGTCTGGGTTGGCATCTGTGGTCTCTTAGAGTCTGCATGACACTTGCCCAGGCCCTTCTGGCTTTCATAGTTTCTGATGAGAAGTCTGGTGTGATTCTGATAGGTCTACCTTTATATGTTACTTGGCCTTTTTCCCTTGCTGCTTTTAATATCTTTTCTTTGTTCTTTAGATTTAGTGTTTTGACTCTGATGTGACATGATGTGTTTCTTTTCTGGTCTAGTCTATTTGGTGTTCTGTAGACCTCTTGTATATTTATGGACATCTCTTTAAGTTGGGAAAATTTTCTTCTATGATTTTCTTGAAAATATTTTCTGGCCCTTGGAGCCTGGAGTCTTCTTTTTCGTCAATTCCTATTATTCTTAGATTTCCTCTTTTCATGGCATCCTTGATTTCTTGGATGCTTTGTGTTTGGGACTTTTCTGATTTTACTTTTTCTTTGAGAGAAGTATCAATTTCTGCATGTATATTATCAGCACCAGAGATTCTTTCTTCTATTTCTTGTATTCTGTTGGTGATGTTTACCTTTGTGGTTCCTGATCTTTTCTCCACATTCTCCAGCTCCAAGAATTTCTCAGTTTGTGTTTTCTTTATTGATCCTAATTTTGTTTTCATGCCTTGCACCATTTCCTTTATCTGTTTGAATGTGGATACGTGTCTCTTTACAATGGTCTCTATTTTTTTGTTCATTTCCTCTCTATAAGCCACTAATTGTATCTTTACTTGTGCCTCTGTTTGGCTATACTTGCCTGTGTTTCTTTGAGAATTTTGTTCATTTCCTCTTTCTTTGCCTCTAATTGACTGGCCAAATCTTTGATAGATTTGTTTATTTCCTCTTTAACTGTCTGAATTTGCATGGCTATTGCTCTGAGAGATTTGTTTGTTTCCTCTTTATGAGCCTCAAATAATTCGGTAAGCATAGCTTTAAAGTCATTTTCTTGTGCTTCCAATGAGTTGGAGTATCCATCAATTTTGGGGGTTGCTGGTGAAGTCATGATGTCCTGATTTATGTTGGATGTGTTCTTTCACCTACCCCTGGCCATTGGCTTATCTGAAACCTTCCCTGTTTGTTTCTGGATTCTGCAGTTCAGACTGGTACTGTCTCTCTCCAGCATCTGGTGAGTTCTTCAGGAAGCTTAGAGAGGTCCTGTGGCCTCAGCGTGTGCATTGGTGCTTTACCTGTACCTGTGGGAGGAAAAGTACGGGGGCGGAAAACAGCATATGCGGGCATGTGAGAGAGAGAGAGAGAGAGAGAGAGGGTAGAAATGTGCCTTAAGGGATAGAGTGATAGAGAATGTCGAACCCTTGAGTGTGTGGGAGGGGCTCTGCCTTGCAGGCTTCTAGGGGGTTATTTGTGCATGCACTGTATATATAGCAGGCAGTAGTGATAGTCGTGGCGCAATTTCCGGCATTATCTGCTTGAACTCCTCAGTTTGACCCGCAGAGCAGGGGCTTCAATGAACCAAGAGAACCTCTGTTTCCCACAGTGGGTATGTGGGTGGGAGGGGTCCAATGCCTGGCTTCTAGTTTAGAAGGCCCCTGGATCTGGGGCTCTGCAGACACTCAAGGGCGCACTCACTCTCAAGCAGGTCACATCAGCAAGGATCGGGGTATCCAGGCTCTCTACTCTCTGGGTTGGCCCTGCTTGGTCTTATGCAGGAGGACTGTAGTGCTCCGCCAGCTCAGTGCTGCTGCAGCCGCCAGGTTAGGAAGTCCAGCTGTAGCTGGAGACTAGGATGCTGGTCCAGATACCTTCTGGGAAGTCCTGGGGACCCTCCACTGTGCTCTCCAGGCCTGGGAGGCCCAGCGCCTGGTGCGCCTGGCTTGTATGATGGGTCTGCTGGGCTTTGGTGGTTATATAGCGAATTATCTGTCACCAAGGGTTTGGGCGGGCCGTACAGTCAGTGGCAGAGAGACCCTGAGTAGTCAGTATGGCCACTAGCAGACCTGGGACTCTGGGAGGATGGTGCCACGGATCTGGGACTCCAAGACAGGTACAGCTGGCAGTTGCAGCTGAGCGGCTAGGAGCCCCGCCTCAGCCACTACAGACCCCAGGCAGTGAGCTCTGAGCTGAGAATCTCGGTGAGCTGGCTGTGCTGAGGAAGAGGGAGTTCCGAGAAAGGGGATTGTCGGGAGATCAAAGGATCTGACCCGAGACCAGAGTTCTCATCTGCGATGTGCCCTGTTCATTTAGAAAGCCTCACCTGTCATTTCCCTGGCTTCAGAAGTCCTTCCACTCACCAACTGAGGCATTCAGCTCTTCTGCAGCTCAGAAACTGTGTGTGCTAGTCACCATTTTGGCTCTGCCTTCAAGCTGCACTTTATTTTTTGAAAGAGAAAAGGCAAAATTTTTTATTCTGCATAGCTATTTTTGTAGTTATTATTATAATACATTCTTAGAGTATTAATGTTTTTCTTATGATTCTCAGAGATTATTTGAAGAATAAAAACAAATGACCATCAGATGACCTGTATTCTAGGTTATTTACCTAATCATGCATTTGTGCTTCTCTAATAAACTCAATTTTTTTTTTTTTTTTTTTTTTTTTAGTTTTCTTAATTTGAGTCCTAGATTGTGTCTTGGACATACTTTCAGTTATATTACTCAGATATTTATGAAGAAAGAAAGAAAGCTAAAATTCCTGACAGATAGTTACCTGTGACTTCAGTGATGGTCTTCCTGACGGTCTAGAAACGAAGTCAGCTACTTTACCATATATACGCTGAGTTGTACAGTGAGGTACTCCCCAACACCATTCAGCCCACTGCCCTACATTACAGCAGAGCAGCCTGAGGAGACACCAAGGTCAATGACAGGAAAGAGCTGGATGGCCTGATGGAGTCTTGTTGTCCTTCTTTGTATGAATACATTTTCTAAGTCAGCATATGCCACACAGATGCTGACAGTCATTTGTTTAGCTGTCTTTTATATTCTCTTCTGTGTATTTGCCCAGTTCAGTTTAAGAAATGTGGCAGTTGATGAATGAAAAAGAATGAATTAGAGAAATAAGGTAAAAGGTAATGAGGTAAATATACGATAACAAATTGTGGAATGTGGTCACAACTAGCCCTGCCATGTGCTTGCTCTGCTTTTTCCCATCATTCCCTGCCAGCTTTACTACTTCATGTTGATTAAATAACGTGCTTGATATTCTACAACTGAGTGAAATGTCTCATGTTTTCATATGCTGTCTTTAGTATGCTTCTTTGGAAAAGTTTGAACATGCATTATATTTTGAAACAGAATGGGTGCTGGCTTGCTGGTTCTTCTGCTGTCACTGGCTGTTTTAACAAGTCTCTTAAAAAGAAAAATTACTTTGGTAAAGGAGGAGCTGTTCATACTTCTGTTACAGGTCAGTTACAATTTTTCAATAATATATCATACCAACTGTATAGTAAAATGTATCTTAGTGTTATACTTTGTTACATTCCTATGTTCCTGTCACTCAAGATTGTCACTGAGAAGTAAGTTTTCTTTTTAAGGTAGCACACAGAAATGTGTATAAAATAGCAAAAAGGTCAGCAAGAGATAACCAGTGATGCCCAGAAAGTAGCAGTTAAGACTTTAGGACTTTAGACCAAACATGAGCTGAAAGTGTTTCCTCTGGACTGAGATTTTGTGTAGTCCCCAAATTTACCAAGCCGCAGCAGCTGGGAGGGTTGACATGAGGGCAGCAGGCAATAGCCTGGGAGATACACTTGCATTGGTTACTAGCTGTGCTATAGCAAAATTTTGTTTTAAAATTAATTGGTGCCCAACTATTTTGTTTACAGGATATGTGGTTTTCAATAATTTAACTCCAGTTTGTTTTTTAATGTCAGTGTGACAAATATTTAATGGGGTTATAAAAGGTAGAGATTACATAGTATGATGTTTTATAAAATGATACCTTTTTATAGATTAGAATAGAAAGCAATTTTGCTTTTTTTTTGGGGGGGGGTGTTGACGCAGGGTTTCTCTGTGTAGCCCAGTCCTAGAACTTGGTCTATAAACTAGGCTGGCCTTAAACTCAGAGATCCGTCTGTCTCTCCCTCCCAAGTTTTTGGATTAAAGGCATGAGCCAACACTGCCCAGCTTAGAAATCACTTTTTAAATAAGATAATAGTCCTCTTTAATTTTTATGTTTTCAATAGGTTTTACTTTTTTTTTTATAGGTTTTACTTTTTAAGATTTAAAAATTTAATTGCTTGTTTTTATTATAATTTTTCTTTTTCTTGAGAATTCATTCATACAAACAATAAAATACAATTATATTAACCTCACATTTCCTCTGTCAGCTACTCTCACATCCCCATGAATGTGTTTCCCCTTCAGCTTTTTGCCTTTTTTCTATTGTTTGAATGTTTCATGCATGCATATAATGTGCTTTGGTCAAATTCACTCCCCTTTTCCTCCCCTCTAATTTCCATTTTTTCCTCCAACACTATGTGCTTGCTTTTTAAGGCCACTGAACCTACTTTGTAGTGCTTGTACATGACAGTATCCCTGAAGAAAACTGACTATCCATCCTTCAGAAGCTATCAGTTACCAGTAACTTCTCTGATAAAATGGGGTTTCATATGCTTCTCACCCCTATCTGGGCTGGGATTTTGGCTCCGTAATCTTCTACAGGTGTGTGCATGCAGTCACAGCTGCTGTGAGTTCCTATAGGCAGTGGTGCTGTTGTTTTTGACATTCATACCTATGGCTCTTATAGTCTTTCTGTCCTCTCTTAACAGTGATCTCTTATTTTCTGCATGTTGACCAGTTGTAGGTCTCTGTATTAATCACCATCTACTATAAAAAGTAGTTTCTGTGATGAGAGTTGAGAAATGCTCTACACTATGGGTATAAAGAAAAGAACTTAGGGGATAATTAGCTACTATATTTATTTAGAAAAATATTAGTGCTAGGTTCTAATCTAGGGCCCATGACCTATCCAGCCACAGTTTTTTCACCCAATTAGCTGTACCAGGAATGAGCTCTATCATGTTAAGGAGGTCAAGTCCATGCAAAAAGTGTTTGGTTATTCTCATGCTACTTGTGCAGGTATTGCACTAGTGGGCCTATCCTGCCAGTTCATCATTATTATAGCTGAAAGGGTTCATAGCCAGGTAAGACTGTTGACTATTCCTCTTCTGCAGTAACATGCATAGCACCTTCATGTGCTGTGAAAGCTAGGCAGTCAGGATGGAGCTTCCAGATTGGTATCTCAATTTCTCCATCTCCTATGACTTATACATTGTTGTGCCAGACTCGCAAGACCCCCAAAGACCACCAGGAGTCGAACTCATTGCAAAACACATGAGGATCCTTTTATTATAAGCTAGCTTGGGATCACACACCCTCAGCACTGATGCAGTTGAAAGCCAACACCCTCATGCTCTGGTTAGGTGGGTGATTTAAAGAGTCTTCCCTCCCAGCATTCCCAAAGCAGGGGGATTCCTGCCTGGCAAGTGTCTATTGATTGAAACATAAAAGGATGCTGCATTTTTAATTGGTTGGCTATAGGAAGGCCCCCAAACCATTAATTGTCTGGCTTCCCTTGTTTGGCTGTCCTAGAGGAGGGGGCCGGTTTCCTAGCAACTATCTCTAGTGGGCAGGAAAGAATGCAGTAAGGCTGATTCTTCCCCACGTGTGGCTGGACATGGCTCCACCTGGCTGGCTTTTATTTAGGCTTGTGCTTTAAACTTTTAATTCTTTGTTTTCTCAACATATGTATCATCTTCAGCAAAAATCTTACCCTCACGCTCTGGAGGGTAACCAAGACCAGTGGCAATAACTTAATAATGTTATTGATGAGAGTCTTTGATCACATTGACCAACAACTTGAGTGCCCTCCCATGGCACCTTACTGGTTTCCTGTCATCTATTGGTACTTCAATTTAAACATATATATCCAAAGAGTCAAATCTATCATCCACATATAGGAGAAAATGAACATGCAGCATTTGGCTTTCTAGGTTTGTGGTATCTTACCCAGAATGATTATTTCCAATTCCATCCATTTACCTATGAATTTTATAATTTCATTTTACATTACAGTTGAATAATATTCCATTGTATATTTGTACCATTAAGTTCGTATATTGGTGCTCATGTGTGCGTGGGTGTGAGGCCATCCACTGGAGCATGGGAAACAAACTAGTGGGAGCACCCTCAAAGAAGAGTGTTTCTCCATCTCCCACAGCTATCAGCTTCTAGTATCTCTTCATTTGGAGGAGATGCCTGGAGAGTACCTCCCCCATCTCTGCCAGAATACTGCCTGGCTTGTTCTTGGGCAGGTAATCATAGCACTGTGAGTTCATAGGTGCAACAGCTGTGGCCAGACAAACTGAGTAATATTTCATTGTGTTACATTTTCCTTACCCCTTCATCTGTTAATAGTCATACTGGTTAATTCTGTTTCCTAGCTATTATGAGTAGAGTACCAGTAAACATGGGTATGCAAGTGTTTTTGTAGTAAGATATGAGATCCTTTGGGTTTATGCTCAAGAGAGATACAGCCAGGTCATACGTCGGTTCTATTTCTAGTTTTTGAGAAAATGCCAGACTGATATTCAAAGTATCTGCACTAGTGTACACTCCCACCACCATGAGTCCCTTCTTTATCACTTCCACACAAGCACAGCTCTACCAAACTCCTGAGTCTTCTTAAAAAGTACTCTCAGAACAAAGCACCATAATGTATTTCCAAAGTAGTGTGAAGTAAAAATATACCATGCAAAAGATATAGTAACTTATGTTCCTTCTTGGAGAGCAACAGTGAACTCGAAAGAAGAGAAGAAACCCTTTGAAAACGTCCTATCAGGCTTTGAAACACGCTTCATTGTAAACAGTGCACTGGCTTTCCTCTAAAACCGGCAGAGATTTCACAGAGTCCACCTGCAGTAATGGGGCTGTGACAAGAGCATGTGTTTCTGACTGACTCTAGAGCAGTGACGAGTATCCTGCTCAAATTCTTTTATATTTTGTTAGAAATACCTGAGTATTATCTAACTCCATTTCAAAGTTCTTTCTTGCATTATCTTTAGCAATTTGCATTAATTCTTGTGCTGCCTGACATATTGATCCCAAGGCATTCTTTTTTTCTCATTTTGGCATCTCTAAATTCAGAGTATGTCTTACCATAGAAATGATCCTAGGATTACATCATAGCTATAGTCACAGAATTTTTTGTGTCTTAATTTGTTTCCCGAAAAGACAAATTAATTTCTAGTATTCGATAAGACCACTGATCTAAGAGCTTATTTTGTGGTAGTCATACATTATCTCATTTCTTTTTTTAATTTATTTATTTTCTTATAAAGTAAAGTTTATTCACTTTGTATCCCAGCTGTAGCCTCCTCCCTTGCCCCCTCCCAATCCCACCTACCATCCCTCATCTCCTCCCATGCCCTTCTCCAAGTGCACTGATAAGGGTCCTCTGACCCTAGCCTATCAGGTCGCATCAGGGGTGGCTGCATTGTCTTCCTCTGTGGCCTGCCAAGGCTGTTCCCCCATGGGGGGTGGGGGGAGGTGATCAAAGAGCCAGCCACTGAGTTCATGTCAGAGACAGTCCCTGTTCCCATTACTAGGGTACCCACATGGACACTGAACTGCCATGGGCTACATCTGTGCAGGGGTTCTATGTTATCTCCATGCATGATCCTTGGTTGGAATATCAGTCTCAGAAAAAAATCCTTGTGCCCAGATTTTTTGGTTGTGTTGCTCTCCTTGTGGAGCTCCTGTCCCCTCCAGGTCTTTCTATCTCCTATATGTCTAATATCCACTTATAAGTGAGTATATAGACACACCATGTGTGTCTTTCTGCTTCTAGGATACCTCACTCAAGATGATCATTTCTAGTTCCCACCATTTGCCTGCAAATTTCATGATTTCCTTATTTTCAATTACTGAGTAGTATTCCATTGTGTAAATGTAACACAATTTCTGTATCCATTCCTCAGTTGAGGGACATCTGGGTTGTTTCCAGGTTCTGGCTATTACAAATAAAGCTGCCACAAACATTGTTGAGCAAATGTCCTTGTTGTGTACTTGAGCACATTTTGGATATATGCCTAGGAGTGATATAGCTGGATCTTGAGGAAGCAATATTCCTAGTTGTCTGAGAAAGCGCGGGACCGATTTCCAAAGTGGTTATACCAGTTTACATTCCCACGAGCTATGGAGGAGGGTACCCCTTTCTCCACAACCTCTCCAGCATGTGTTGTCACTTGAGTTTTTTTATCTTAGCCATTTTGATGGGTGTAAGGTGAAATCTCAGGGTTGTTTTGATTTGCATTTCCCTGATGACTAAGGATGTTGAGCATATCTTTAAGTGTTTCTCTGCCGTTTGATATTTCTCTACTGAGAATTCTCTGTTTAGCTCTGTACCCTATTATCCCATTAGTTAAAAATAGCAATTAATCCACTAGTTCAGGGTTTAATAGACATTTTTCCATACAACTGGATCATGCTTATTATGGTTATGCATATGGAGTCTGTTAAAAATGTGTCAGCACAAAGGGAGACAATGCAGAAATGAATGGGAGTCACTGTGTTGCCATAAAGCAGTTTTTACAAAAACAGCTTTCAAGCGGACTCCTCATATATAGTAACTTATAATGAACATTTGTACTGTTATTAGTACAGAAATATATTGAATAAATAAATAAACAAATAAATAAATTGAATAAATAAATAAATAGTACTGTAGTACTGTGCAGAGGAACAGAGGTGGGAAATGCACTGAACTACACACTCCCTTCCAATTGCATAATTTAAGAAACCTTCAACATTTGTAATAGATACTTCTCAAGAAAAGCTCCGGTGAGGTATGCCATAGCATACCAGTGTGCACATTGACAGTGTGCGTGCCTCATCTCATCCTCAGGCAAGTCTCTGGCTTACCATGACAGTACTTACCTTGTAGCTCTGGAGCACGAGAAGGCAGCCTGGCTCAATTCCAGTATTTCTGCTATGTTCCGGTTTTTCTCAGCACTGTTTAAGCATCTTCCTAGTGTGTTACCTCTTCCTCCCTTCCCTTTGCTAACCTGTTTGGTTTGTGTCTTCAGATGCTGAGTATAGTGCTGTCTATGTATGTTGTGTACAGCACCCACCACAGTCTGTTAAAGAAAGAAGGACTGCCTCTTCTGAATCAGATTGTGAGCTGGGCAACGCTAGGTAAGTGGCCACTCAGGCTACATTGGAAAACTTTACCTGCAGTCACTTATCTTAAGATAATACCTTTATATCTGTGTTATTGTACTGAAAGAAGTAGTATTGATGAGGGAAAACTATAGCCAGCTATTTTTTTTTTTTTTTGTATTTCTCTCTGGAGTTTGACAAAGAAAAGTAGAAGTCTTGTGAACATACCTGGAATAATAAGAGTTAACTTGTTAAAATATTTATGACTTGGTAATTGGACTGTATACTTATGAACATCTAATAAAAATATATTGAATGATTCCAGAAGAGAAGTTTTATGAATATTCATTCTGTATATGCACCACATATATGTAATTTTCCTGTCATTCTTTACATTTCTAGGTCTTACAGAGATTGAATTTTGTGTTTCCCTTTCTAAAACCACTAGCTATTTTTCAGCATGATGCATATTTTATGAAGCTATGACGGTATTTCCAATCATGTTCCTCTGTATAGCACCTTTATTTAAGAATGTTAGAGGTGGGGCTGGTGAAATGGTTAAGTGTGCTTACTGCTTTTGCAGAGGACCTAGTTTGAACTCCTAGCACTCACATGTTGGTTCAAAACTACCTCAAAAGTAACTACACAGATGGGGAAATTATAAAGTCTTAAGGATATCAAAGGAATGAGTTATTTGTATTTTTGCACACAATATTTCAAGTTCTTTTGCAGAGGCAGGAGGATCTCCATGAGTTCCATATCAGCCAGGTCTACACACTGTTTGAAAGAAAGCAAACCTAAAGAAACAAAAACAGTTCCTTTGGCCAGGAGTGGTTGCATACACCTTTGATGCCAGCACTGGGGAAGCATATGCTGGGTGTCTCTTCAAGATTAGCCTGTTCTATATGGAGAGTTTCAGGCTAGTGAGGGATACCTAGGGAGGCCCTGTCTGAAAAAAGAAAGAAAGAAAAAACACCATTGTTTGTTAATCTAGACTCTTGTCCTGGTCCGAGTATATATCGTAGTAGAGTACTTACACATGCCATCCTACCACCTCCCACCAACTTGGATATCCTGTGCAGTTTATTCATGTCTTTATTGGTCACATTTTAATTTTGGAATGGTGGAAAAAATATTAGAATCAGAATCAGTCAATCTACATAAATATTTCCCTGGGAAAAGTTTAAATATGAAATTACTTCCTTAGCATTGGAACAGCTAGGTATTAGCTTCAAGATTCCTGCCAAGTGGTATGAAGCATGAAATATCAACTCATAGGAAAGTCTTCAGTGTCACCAAAGATGTCCTCCCAACATTGATACTTCATGGTCTGGCGCCAGTAGTCATATTTTGCTTACGTTCATAGTGCTCAACTAAACAACATGTTAATATGTTCATATCACTTAGAATAGACTCTTAATTTCTCTTTAATACCTTGTTATTTCTTTATGTCGAAGGCCAGCTTTGACTACATAGGGTTAAACTGAGTTGGGATGTAGTGTGGAGGAAAGAATCCAAAAGCTGATAGCTCCTGCTATCTCAGAGCCAGCATAGTTTGTCACTGTAGAGAAACTTTGGACTCTTTAGGGGCCACAGAGCTGATGGCTCCTGACAGGGGCTGATGAGAAGGAAAAGAGAAAGGAGAAAAGAAGCACATACACACACACACACACACTTTGTGGATGAAGCAAAGGCAGGCTTCAACACAATTTAACAAATTCACACATACACACATATATGCATACATATACATACATACATATATGCAGACAATCAGACAGATAGTGGATGGAGCAAAGCACATGCTCCAACAACCAACACTTTATTTTTTCTCTCAGACTTTTTATACCCCCTAAAGCAAAGTTCTGTATGTAAGAAGAAAAACTACCTCGTCACCATAAAAGCAATTATCATAAAAACATAAATCCATTACAGAAGAGGGAGTTACAGCAGTATTGTTGGTTACATATTTTTCTATTGAAACTTGTATCTAAGTAAACGTTTCTTTATCTAACTCTTTGTTCTACAAGTTCATTGTATGTTTAAAGCAATAGTTTTGCATGTCATAGGTTAACAAGGTTTAAGGTTAACAAGGTTTGAGGAGTTACAGCAGAATTACTGTTTATGTGTCTTCCTATTAAGACTCATATCTAAGCCAGGTGTGGTGGGACATGCCTTTAATCCCAGCACTCAGGGAGGCAGAGGCAAGCTGATCTCTGAGAGTTCAAGGCCAGCTGGTTTACAAAGCGATTCTAGGACAGCCTAGGCAACACAGAAAAACTCAGTCTGGAAAACAAAAAACAAAAAACAAAAAAAAAAAAACAAAAAAACCCTCGAATCTAACTTAATAATCTTCAACTATCTTTTAATTTATGAATTCATTGAAAGTTCAAAGCAGTAGTTTTTTATGTCTTAGGTTAACAAGTTTAAGCAGGACAAGCCTATAGTTGCAAGTTTTCTCCTATGCTAGCTGGTTTCAATCTATATTTTGCTAAGAAACAGGTCATCTCTTAGTCTTATTTTCAAAGTTTTGCATAGCTAAATTAGCCAATTATCTATCCCTGTCCATGGCTTATCTTATCATGGTGCATACTGAGACCCATGATCTAGATGTAACCTAGAGTGAATGTTTTTTTCTTGGTCATAAATCTTCCAAAACTCTTTCTCTTTTTAGTGCAGTTTATGTGCTTGTGACACATGAAGGCTCATAGAATTCCTCTTGCAGTTTTTGCTAGACTTTCACAGGGACTTAAAATTACTTGACTCAAATCAGGAATTCTATAAAATCATTATCAGAAATTATAAAACAATCAATTCATCTAAACAGTATTATTTCATGAAACAAATCAACATCTTCATGTTGATCTGCAATAAATTTGCCAACAAAGTGGGCTAATAATACCCAGGAAGCAATCACACCAGACTATAGGCAGTGAGGGTCTCCTTATGCCCAGTAACATCATGCCAGATATATGAGGAATACAGAAATGACAAGCATGGGAAGGTGTGTCAGCAGCAAGAAGCAATCTGGAGACAGAGCCCCTGGGGCCATGGCTCTCCAAGGTACACACATCACAGCCATGGAAAACAGTGGGCCATCTCCAGGTAGCTCACTTACCCACTGCAGTTCTTACTCGAATGGTGTCTGTCACCTTTAGTCAAAAATAAAACCAAAATGAAATATTCAATATTTCAAAATTGGTTTCATTTTAAACTGGCTTTTGTTATGGCTGTAGTGAAGTGATAAAATACTTGCCTGCCATACCTTGAGGCCTTGTGTCTTGGGAAAAAAAGAATCCATAAACAAAAGAACAAACAAGAAACGCACCTGAAATGACTTAAAATAAGAAACATAGCAAGTTATTTCTTGCAGTTAAATATTTATCAGTTAATAACATTATTGATCTATCTACACATCATAGCTAAAACTTTACAAGTAGGACTTGCAGAGCTTTGAATCTTACAGGGATTTATAGCTTTAATTAAAATTATCTGTATATTTAGCTTACTTTACAAGATACTGATTACTAATAAAGATATCAGCCAATACTAAGCATTTTATAGGTGAAATTGTACTCAAAACTCAAAGCAAGTTCTCTTGAATGTCACCATATTTAACAGATATGTGAGCTTTTTCTTTAATGGATTAATAAATTTGATTGTTTAATTAATAAGCCAATTAGTGAATGATTCAGCAAAACATCATCCAACTTTCATATTCTGAAGCACCTGGTATATTAAGTGATTGTATACATTTGCTCTCTGAAACATACAAAAGGTATTTGTGTTTGCTGTTGCTGACCCTTTTCATCACCTTGCCCACCTTGAGGTAATTGATTTTCTAGGATTAGGTCCACAATTTTGGTATATGCTGACGTCATTCTCTCCTGCTTCTGATATATCAAGTAGCACACTACAACTCTAGATACCTACTTCTCTGACAGTAGACACAATCTATTTCTAGGGAATACATTGTCTTTGAACATAAATGTCTAATTAAGAGACAGGTTCCGGGGCTGGAGAGATGGCTCAGAGGTTAAGAGCACTGGCTGCTCTTCCTGAGTTCAATTCCCAGCAACCACATGGTGGCTCACAACCATCTATAACGGTGTTCTCTTCTGGTATGCAAGCACACATGCAGTCAGAATACTGTATAAATAATACATAAATCTGAAAAATGAAAGAAACAGGTTGCTGCTGGGTATGGTGGCACATGCTTTTGTTCCCAGCACGTGGGAGGCAGAGGCATGTGTATGTCTGAATTTGAGGGCAGCCTAGTCTATAAAGCAGGTTCCAGAACATCCAGGCCGGTTATACAGAGGAAAGGAAAAACCAAACCAAAACAAAACAAAACAAAATAAAGCAAATGAACGAACAGAAGACAAGTTGCTTAATCTTAAGTGATACATTTATTTCTTTAGAAAAGAATAAATTATTCATATGGGAGTTAATATCATTATAGTGATCTATTTGAATAAACTTGATAAAACTTGAGTTATTTAACTGAAATGTAATTTAAGTTAAGAATGTACTTACTGCTTTGTTTTTCCTACAGAAATCCTGGGTTGTATTAAAGATCATACAAATGCTAAATTTTGTAAATGGGTGTGGATTGTTTGGGTCTGTAGAACTGATATAGGACTGAGTGGCTCTGTTTTCTTGCAGCATCTTCCTTGGTTGTGCCCCTCCTGAGTTCCACAACCCTCTCTCAGCGACTGTCCAGCACACTTCTTTCTTTGATGTCAACCTACTTGCTTCTAAGCACAGGGTATAAACTTTTTATCTATTTAATTTTTTTTTGAGAATTTCATGAGTACTATATTTTTATGCCTTCCTCTCTCCCTCCAACTCCTCCCATGTCCTCTCTTGCTCTTAAGTTCATGACCTCTATTGTTACAAATATTTATATTATTTTATATATGTTATTTATATCACAGAGCTATATAATAATACATAATATGTTATTGTATATTATATTACAAATATATATGTATAAACTTTTCTTAAAATATAATTTCACAATTTTAAATTGTAATTGTTAAATATAGTAGCTTAGCTTTGGTAGTGAAAATATTTTCTAAATCTTGAAGCATAAATTATAAATATATTCCACTCTGTAAGTATGTAACTTGGCCTATAATTTGTTTTATTTTTCTCATCATTTTAATATTATTATCTGTCTTCTATTTTCACCTGTTGGACTTGTTAAAATTTTATTTAAGTATAGTGTTAGGAAATCCTGATGATTGTGGCAGAATTTTAAGTCTTAAAGAGTTTTTAAGAAGGACTTTTGTTGTTTTTTTGTTGCATTCTTCTAATGCATAGTGGTATGATCTCTATCCCATTAAATGACTGTACAGCGAGGACTAAAATAGAAATTTATCTCCAACACAGAACAGCATCATTGCTTCCTATTACACTTAAAAGTTCTATTGTTTTAAAGCTATTCAAAGGCAAGGATCTAGCAGAAAATACAAATAAATTTTAAAATAAATTGAAGAAAGCTTGTGTTTATTTAGGATTTAAGTCTTAATTTAAAGCTTACGTCTTTTCTCACCTGAGCTAAAGTTTGGGCACCAGTGTGACCTTCAGCTCTGGCATATGAAACTCTTTCCGTTTATAGTGACATCTTGTGACACTCCTGCGTGTTTGTCACTGCTTTTACAGTTATGATCTCATCCTTCATGTTCCTTACTGACATTGGTAGTGTTTCATTTTCTGGGTGTAAAATATCAGAGCACCCAATTTGGCTTTTTCAGAGTATGTGTGACCAGGAACTCTATTAAAACTTATTTTTTAATATTTTTTTTCCTTTATTACTCTTTTATTTTGTTATCTTAAAGAAATCCATCATGTGTGTGTTTTGTTTTTTTAGCATGTTTTTATTTTTTATTTTTTTGCAATTTATTCATTATATATCCCAAGTGAAGCCCCCTCCCTTAGTTCCTCCCAGTCCCACCCTCCCTTTTTCTTTCCCCCTATTCCCTTCCCCTCGTCCACTGAAAGGAGGAGCTCTCCTCCTTTGCCATCTGCCCATAGCTTGTTAAGTTTCATTAAGAATGCCTGGATCTTCTTCCTATGTGGCCTGTCAAGGCTGTATCACCAGCAGCAAGTAATCAAAGATCACGCAACCAAGCTCATGACAGAGGCACCCCTGCTCCCCTTACTCTGGAACCCACATGGAGCCTGAACTGCTTGAGTTTAAACAAAGAATCTGACCAGTTGATTTGGCATGAACCCTGAAACATTACTTTAAAATGAAGTGAAGGCAGTTTTTTATAGTTCCCATGTTGACTTTGAAGGGAAGAATTTTTGCCTCCCTCCCACCCCACTCCCCAAACTGAACTCACTGTGTAGTCCCATTTGGCTTTAACCTCTAATTTCTTGTTGCTGTGGGATCCTGAGTGCTGATATTCCAGGCATGTAACCAAAGCCCAGTTTGTCATTTGAATTTAATTTTATTTAATTTTTCCTTAAATCCTATAAGGATGAAGGATGTTACTTTCAGATAAATGATAAACAAAACAGAAAAATTGAGTAAACACCACTAATAGTTCAAACTTGGACTAAAACATGGGATCTTGATTCAAATTAGACTCAGCCCAGAATTCACCATAGTGCTATGAGCAGGTTATCCTCAGCTGAAATGATCTTGTAAGGCCATCTGGGGTCAAGGCCTGATCAGTCTTGAGGAATCTTAGCTGTTTTAACTATGTATTAAACATTCTGAAAAGCTTTTTCCAGTCAGATATGTGAAGTGAGTGGGCAGTAAGCTCCTCTCACCAAAGGTCCCACACATCCTATTTTTTCCTTCTCTGTGATTGACATATTTGTGGGACACATCTGTGAACATATGACATGGACATTATGAAAACTTTCCCTGGTTGCTTAATAAAGAAATCTTAATGCCTTGGTTGCTTTGAGATGTACAATTTTGAAATGAATCTTGAATTGTGTGAGAATCAAAGTGTTCTTATTCAAGAGTGACAAACATAATTTGAAACTGCTTACATTTTCCTTTATTGTTGTTAAAATTTTATAATAAATAATTCTATTACGTTATCAACCTTCAGATTAAAGTATGTAAAAGTTTTTAGTCTACATAAGAAATTGGAGGCTAAAATCTTGTCAATTTGGGATGACATATTGTTCTATTAAGAAGTCACACTTAGAGGTTTGCTTGAGAAAATAAACATTTTAGAATAAAGAAATGTGTACTAATTCTTTAACAGTCAATAATGTTTTCACCCTTTTCAGGTTCAAAGGAATGAATAATAGATTTTTAAAGTGGTGGAACATGCCTGTAATTCTAAGCACTAAGGAGACTGAGGCAGGAATTGTGAATTTGAAACCAGCCAGTGCCTTATAGAAGGAACCTGTCTTTAAAAGCCAAAGGCTTGCTATTTTAGATTTTTTTCTTGTTGCTGTGATAAAATAATCTGACAAAATCAATTTAAGGAAAAAGTGTTTTGTTTTGTTTTGTTTTTTTTTTTTTTTGTAATATAGTTCCAGGGTCAAGCCCATCACAGTAGGGAATTCAAGGTGTCAGGAGCTTGAAATAGCTGGTCATGTGCATCCATAATCACCAAAAGAGAGTAATGACCACATCCTAGTGCTCATTTGCTTCTACATTTTGTGCAGTCCAGTGTCTCCTACAGAGTGTGGTATTGCCAGCATTGACATGATTAAGGTAATCCCTCCTAGGCGTGCTTCACAGGCCCATCTTCCAGCTGATTCTAGATCCTATCAAGTTGACAGTAAAGGTAAATGATCACACAGGGAACATAGAGTCTTCTCTATAATGTACAGGGGCCTGGCTTCAATTTTTGCCACTATAAAAAGTCAGTTAGTAATATAAAGAAATAAAATATAAATCCTAGAAATAGATTAGATTGGAAATAAAGGATCATAAGGAAGAAAGAAAGGATAGTTTAAATTTTATTTTAAGTTTAAAAAATTAATCCTTAATATAGAGTGAGTTTATCCTGTAATTTACTTGTAGACAAGTATTATGATCATGTTTTCAATCATCAGTTTAATGGTCTTGAGAGACCCTCAAACAGATTATCATAATGACATCCATTTTGTTTTAAGAAAATCAAAATTAAGAAAGTTCATGCCTAGAATCAGAATATTGCTGTTGAGTATCACCATATTAATGAAAGCGTTAAGAGACAAACCTGTTTCTTGTTGTGGTGTGGCTCAGCCCTAGAACACAGCTTTAATCAAAGAGCTAGATAAAGTCAACCATAGGTCAAAAGGTGGAGAGGGAGTAAACAGAAAAGAGGGACACTGAGTTGAGGATATTTAAGACTGTGGAGAAGGAGAAAGGGCTTTTTCACGCTGGATTGTCATCGGCTGAGTAGGAAGGTCAGCTGAATCTCTGCCTCTCTGAGCTAGTAGGTTTTCATCCCAGCATCTGGCCCCTGAGTCTTTATTGGTAAAATCGAACATTGGGATTTGTTTTAAAAACTATAAATATCAGAATATGTATTTAACTTTGAAAACGGTCTTGAAGTGCACCTGTAATCCCAGCACTTAGGGAGGCAGAGGCAGGTGTATCTGAGTTTGAGGACAGCGGGGTCTACAAAGTGAGTCCAGAACAGCCAGTGTTATACAGAGAAAACCTGTATCAACAAAAGAAAAGAAAAAAAAGAAAAGAAAAGAAAAGGGTCTTGAGATAATGTGCTCTAGTCACTCAGATTAGTATGGTTTCTTGGTTTCTTATCAGTGTTACAAACCAGGTAGTTCTTCTCTGTTTTGGACAAAGTAGAAGTTTCTTTGTATAATTTAGTGAATATTCAAATATAAAATAAGTGCAGCTTTATTATATTATAGAAATAAGATAAGAGTAATCTTAAATTCTAACAATGCATCCTTGATTTAGTGAATAAAAAAGATTCATTAGTAATCAGCCCTGAATTAATTTTATGCAAATGAAAGCTATTATAATTCTTAAAAATCATTTGTTTGTTAAGTTGTTAAATATTTCCCTTTGAAATTTTTGTTTACATTATCCCTTTGCTTAACAAGCTATAATACAGATGTAAATGCCTTTTCAGCTCATTCCAGTCTGCACAAGGCCAAACCAACAGACTGCAATTTAAAGTTCCGTGTTTCATTACATTCTGTTCAAGTCCACGATGACATTTTGTTGATATTTCTGTATTAATTTAGATTTGAAGGCTGTATATGAAATATTGTCATAAGAGGTAAAGTCTCTTAGAAGGACTGTTTTTACCTGATCTTGTCTGCATGTTAGGAAAGGACCATAGCGCTGTTTGAAGTACTGAGAAATTTATGGTTGTGTGTAATTAGAAAGAACGACTTTCATATAAACTAAAACTGTTTGTTAAAGTCACAGTACCATGAGGCTGCATAGATGGTGAAGCAGTTAAGAGCACTGGTTGCTTTTTTCCAGAGGACCCAGGTTCAGCCCCCAGAACCCATATGGTACTAACCACCATCTTCTGTAACTGCACTTCCAGGGGATTCAATGCCCTCTGGCCTCTTTGATAGCAAACATGTAACAGTGCACACATGTCCATATAGGCAAAATACACACAGAAATTCTTTCAAAGTTATCATCTGCCTTTTCTTAGAGTTTGCGCCTTCTTTATCTGATTAATCAAGTTTTTTTTTTTTTCTTTCACATTTTCAGCATTCTGAGCACTAAGCAGTCAAACCAAGAGAATTATTACTGTAATGCAGGCTTGCAGTTGAGCTGTTCATGGCTATAAAATAGGAATTGTATTTTGCAGTGTTACAGTAAAAACTAGAAAGCTGATTTTAAGAGTTAGGAACTGAATAGACTTGAGCAGTGGAACTAGGTTGATGGCATCCGACAATTAAATTGCTGAACCATCTCCCCAATCTCCCATTAAAATTATTTTAAGAATGATTTCTAGTTTTGACTTTCATCTTTCCTTGTTAATGTTTTCATCCCTGTGCTCTCACTCCTCTTAGGTATGAAGCCCTCTTTCCATTAGTGTTATCTTGTCTGATGTTTGTCTGGATACACATGGAACAAGAGACTCTACGACAGCCTGCTGTTTCCTGTAAACAGAAGGTAGCTGTCTAACCATTGCTGCTTTGATTTGGGAATAATAAAATAGTCTCCATGTTACAAAGATGTTATGGCATTATTTTATCATAAATTCTTTTTGCTTAGAATCCTAGCATTTAAAAAAACATAGTAGATTTTACTTGACATTAATAATTAAAGTACACAATTAAAATATAAGGGAAAATTTGATATTGTACAGTTTTGCAAGATGTGTAGGTGTTGGGCTTTTCCTAGAAAAGTATTGGGAATCAGATAAAAAGTATCAGTATAGGGTGAGGAACACATCTCAGGGATGAAAGTGCTTGGCACTTGCTAACACCTGAGGAGCTGAGATCAAGTGGTAGGAGAAAGCCACGGCCTCCACATGTATGCTGTGGTGTGTGCGCTACATGCTTGTCCCCACACCTGTTTTTCTTCTGATAGTTTTATTTCATCATGAGGTGATATTTAAGTACTATTGTTTCTCTGGCCATCCAAATCCAAAATGGTTACTCTGTCATTTTAGTGATTGTGGCCCCTAACCATATCTTCAACACTTTACACACTCTGCTATGCTTAGAAATGGGTAAAAGCCAACCAGTTTTTAAGGGTGACACCACCTGGATGAGTTAGAAAGTTATGTGATATCTCTCATCTGTTTTGGAAGATAGTTCCCAGAAATTGGTGACAGAATACTATTTTCCTGAGGTCAGGTCAAAGAAGAGTGCCTTTGTGCACAAGCTTACCTAGCCCCAGCTGACTTCCAAGAGGCACTGCTCATTTGGAATAATTTTTCAGCACAGAAGCAGCTATATCAACGAACAAAGAAAGGGATAAATATTTATTTTGTGTCATCCTTTTACTATGATATAACTGATTCAAGAAAAACAGAACACTGATTAACTGAGGTCTCTGAATAACAGTTCAAATGTGAAATATTTATACAGGCAAAAGACCAGCTCTTACTTTAATGACACATGATAACATCATAACTCCAATTAGCATGGTACTAAAATATTTTACCTTTCAGTCAACTGTGTTAAGATATACCAAGCTATTTCACTGTTGTGAGGTTTTGTTTTGTTTTTTGTATTTTGTAGGCACAGTGTAAGTTCTTATCGGTGTTAACTTAGCCATTGCTAATTTATCTGTAAGTCTATATGTAAGCCAATTGCCATTGTGTATTAATGCATTTCTTGTTACCTTTAGCTTACCAGCATCCAGTTCACCCATAAGACTGATATTGCTCAGTTACGACAGCTGACTCTGGATGATATCCGTAGGGCCTTTTTTCTTGTATCCTTTGCTGGAACTTTTATGATCTTCCAACCCTATTTTAATAGAGTATGATGATATAGAAGGTGTTTCTGCTTCTTACTTAATAATGGTATTATATTAGAGGCTATTTAACTCTCTTCTCAGCTCACATATATACTTCTCATCAAAATTTAGCGGATGCTAGGCATTTAGCTCAGGGATAGAGTGCTTGTTTAGCATGCACCAAGCCCTGGGTTCAGTCCCTAATAGTGCAAACAAATACTTTTTTATCAATAGGGAAATGATGAAAACATGCATATGTTCCTACCATCCAGTGTCTTAACAGTTAAGAGTTTTTTCACATATGCATATTCCTTAAAAAGTAAAATGTGAAAGCTAAAACTCAATTCTTCTTTTCAATTCTCAATGCCCATTTAATTTCTTCTGCCCTGGAAGAAACCATTAGGAGTTTGTATTTTGTGCGCTGTGCCTGAGGCTTGCTAAGCCACACCTGTCTCACAGTTTTGTGTCTCAGAGGCTAGCGTGGAATTACTGAGCATTACAAGTTTGGAAGATGCATGCTGAAGACTAAGTTCAGAAAGACCTAGTGGCCAGCTGCAAGAAATTCATAGGCAGTTATTCCTTATTTATAATATTTTGCTTAAAATTTAATCTCTACTGAGGTAAAATTAGTAAAAATTAGAAATACTGGAGGTGTATAGCTTGATGCTATAGCATACACTGCAAAATGATCACACAAAGTAATCGTCACATCCTTACGTACTCAGCTGCCATTTGTATTTCTCCCCTCCCTACTTTCCTTCACATTTTTATTCCTGTCCTTCCTCTTTGCTTCCTGCCCTCCCTCTCTTGTGAAAATAATTAAGATCTACTGTCTTAACAGGCTTTATTTAACACAGTACAGTTCATTAACCATACTGTTCCTTAGCTGTTCAGACCTTTCTTATACATAAGTGAAAGTTCTGTCTTTTGACCAAATCTCCTTCCTTGCCCCTCTTCCTCATCCTTCCAACCACTATTCTATTGTCTTCTACAACAGTTTGTTTCCTTTTCTTCATTTTTTGAATCACTCTGTTCTTTTTCTTCCTTTGCCTGATCTTGAGCTATAGTTTTCCCAGTCTCCCTCCTTAGCCTGGTGCTATGTCTGATGAGCTACAGCCTTTCCTCTAGCACTGGCAGACACCCTTGACATCCACTTCTCCAGTTCTGACCTCAAGAGCTCCCTGTCCATCATTTACATGGGAATCACTAGATACCTGTGTCAGTTAAGTATCAACTTCTGCTCTTACCCAAAGTAGCTCCCTAGACAGCCTCCTGCCTTTGACATAGACTTCTGAACCAGTCCCCTAGGTAGCTTCCTGTCTCTCTCATGGACTACTGAACCAGTCTCCTAAGCAAGCCTCCTGCCTCTGACATGGACTACTAAACCAGCTCCCTGGTTAACCTCCTGACTCTGACATGGAGTACTGAACCAGCTCACTGGGCAACCTCTTGCCTTTGTCTTTCTTGTCTTTCTTGCTTGTATATCACAGATCACATGGATTTTTATTATGTCACTTACCTGAACTATTTTCTTCCAACATTATTTCTACAAAAGTTAAAGTTCAAACCTTTTATTAACATGTTACTAAAGTCTGTTTTACTTCATTTTTTACTATCTTTTAATGAGCCATTAGCATACAATACTTATCTATTGTTTCATGACAGTACAATGTATTTTCCCATTACATATACCCACTTTACCAGCATATTTAAATCACTTTAAGACTATTTCATTCACGTTATGTTCTTAGTGCGTACCTCTGTTTCATACAAGTACTAGACAGTAAATGTCAGTTGGTTAGGTGCTGAGCTCAGCAAATGTCTGCATGGGCACCTTTCTGGCTCAGCTCACCCACTCAGATGCTGCCTTTTCACTAGAAGTTGCCCTGATTTCCCTGCAGGGTCTCTGTTCAGCAGGTAAAACCACTTGGTGTGTACTGGTTAGTTTTTGTCAACTTGGCACAAACTAGAGTCACCTGGGAAGAAGGAGCCTCAGTTGAGGAATTGCCGTCCATCAGATGGCCTGTGGGCAAGCCTGTCAGACATTTTCTTGATTGGTGATTGATATGGGAGGGCACAGTCCACTGTGGGTGGCACTGCCCTGGGCTTGTGGTTCTGTTTGTATAAGGAAAGCAGGCTGAGCAAGCTACAGTTAGCAAATCAGTAAACAGCATCTCTCAATGTCTCTGCTTAGTTCCTTCCTCCAGGTTCCTGCTTCACCCTCCTACAATGATGTACCCTGATACCAGTTTGTAAACCTAATAAATCCTCCCCCCCCCCCAGGTTGTAGTTGGTCAGTGTTTTATCACAGCAGTAGATAGTAACGAATACACTGTGTAAGCCTGATAACCTGAGTTTAGTTCTCAGAACCCGCTGTGGAAGGAGAGAGTCAACTCCCCAAAGCTGTCTTTTACCTTCTACACATACACCATGAGTATTCCTATACCAGTACTCATGTACACATATACACACACACACATACACTGTGAGTATTCCTATACCAGTACTCAGGTACATATATTACACACACATACACTGTGAGTATTCCTATACCAACACTCATGTACACATAATACACACACACACATACACCGTGAGTATTCCTATACCAGTACTCAGGTACACATATCACACACACACACCGTGAGTATTCCTATACCAGTACTCAGGTACACATATCACACACACACACACCGTGAGTATTCCTATACCAGTACTCAGGTACACATATCACACACACACATACACCGTGAGTATTCCTATACCAGTACTCAGGTACATATATTACACACACACACACGTACACCAATAACAATAATATTAAAAAAAAAACACTTTAATAAGTGTTAAAAAAACGTTTGGCATTCTATTGCGTTAAGTTATTCTAAGGTAATTTTCTTTCTTTTTGAGGCTTTTGAAAAACTATTATGAGTTTCACATGTAGAGGACACATGGCAGTTACATAAAGCTATCTGGCGGCTGAAAATGTGCGATGTTCTAGTCCTACATCATTTTGAAAAAGTCATAAGCAAAAACTGCAGACACATTTCACCTTGTTGATGCTTGAGAAGAGGAGGGTAGGCTTCTCAGGAGGCTCCAGGAACCCACACACCTAATAGTTTTCAGGGCTTTGCTTTAGTTTTCAGATCGTTGTAATGTGCTCATCAGGAATACACTCAACCATTCCTTTCAAACAATTCACAATGATTAAACAGACAAAAAAACCAAATTGCTTTTGTGGTAGAACTGGCTTTTATTTTCCTAAATGAAAAAGAGATTGTAGCAAACTCCAGGTACAGAAGCTTTGGCTAAAGTGGGAAAAAAACAGGCTTGAACTCATGTCCTTCCCTCTATTCTAAATATAGAAACCCTTTGTGGGTACTTTGACCTAAGCTCCTGGAGAAAACATGCCTGATTAGGTTGCAGAGTTGGAAGTCTTTCTTTTGTAAACCAAGATTAGTCACTACTTACAAGATTGTCTTGACAATTAAATAAGAAGAAATGATTTGGAAAGAAAGAAATTGTATGAATTCTGACTTGTTTTGGTGTTTCCTTAACTGTGTGTAGGTTTTCTTTTTAATAACTGCATTTTTTGGAACTGGAAATATAGCTTCTATTAACAGGTAAATTTTTTATACTTATTTAGTTTGTGTGTGTGTGTGTGTGTGTGTGTGTCTGTGTCTGTGTGTCTGTGTGTCTGTGTCTATGTCCCATAGAAGAGCAGCAACTGCTCTTAACTGCAGAACAGCCCCTTTACCTTGTTTTATATTCAATCATATAGTAAAATGGAGTATACTATGATAATAAAGGACATTAACATTCTGATCTATTTTATGCATTCTAGTATGATTGAGTTTTAGTAAAAGTTGATTTCAGAGAATTGCTGAGCATCTTCTTAAAAGAGTATTCTTTGAGTCACAGTATGAATTCTAAAATCTTTACTCTTTCCTTCATCATTGTCTAGCTTTGACCTTGCCTCTGTGTATTGCTTTATGACTGTGTTTAGTCCTTTCATGATGGGAGCTCTCATGATGTGGAAGGTTAGTTTTCTGATTTTATTACTTGCATTAAATGAATGATATAAAGATTGTGATATTAAGGTTGTGTAATGTGTAGCATTATGATTGTAAAATATTTTTCATTGTAACAGAGATATCCTTTCAAACTTGGCACTGATGGAGGCAATCCTCTAACCCTTGCTTCCAGATATCATTAATCTTTGCTTTATTCTTAAGACTATTTGACTACAAAAGAATAAGGATTCTGTTAGCCCAAGAAAATCCTATCAGAAAAAATTAAAGACTGCTGGGGCATTATGCTCAAAACTGCAGTGTTGCTAAAGATGATGAAGCTTCCTGACCCCATGGGTCTCCAACCACAAGATGGCCACTGTGGTCTCGTCTTTTCCATGTACCTAGAACTCATCAATCTTTTCAATAAATGTGTCATTGAGTGTTCTGTTTATTTATGTGTCAGGCACTAGCTGAGCGCTGACAGTATGAAAGTAGTTTTCTAGATATAAAGATTATGGTGGAATATAGCCCCTCAACTTTTTTAATGTTATGGTATTGCTTTTCTGTTGCTGTGATACCCTGATAAAAAAGCAAGTTAGGGAAGAAAGGAGACACAGTTCGTCATGGCAAGAATGGCACAGAAGCAGAAGCATAGATCCAGCCTGGCAGTCAGGAAGCAGAGAGATCATACTTTATCTGCATACAGGAAACAGAGACAGAACAGGAGGTAGAGCAAGACTGTACACTCTCAAAGCTCACCCCAGTGATGTACTTTTTCCAGTAGGACTTCACCATCTAACGGTCATAATCTCCCAAACAGCACCAGCAGCTGGGGGACCAGTGTTTAAATCCATGAGTCTGTGGGGAACATTTCTCATTCAAACCATTGCAGTTGTTATACTTACTGTTCTCTCTACCAATTTTTTTTTCTATAGTGCTTGGCACGTTTTATGTAGTTAGTGTATATTTATTTAAACCTTCAGATACATAAGTAATAACTGTTAAAGGCATATATCCTCCTAGTAGTAGTTTTCTTACTGCACCAGTTTTACAGACTTTTTTACTACACTAATAGGTAATTTAAGAAATGATAAGAGGACATTGGGCAATTTCTCATGACCCATTCTCTAGTCTTTGTATATGTTTTCAAATTAATACATTGAGTATGAGTTTATAATCATAAATAAAATAACATTTTAAACTAAAAAAAAAAAAAAAAAACAAAAAACCAACCAAAAATAAAGTAGCTGAGTCATAGTGTAATACTATCTAAAAACAAGCTAAGCTCAGAGAGCTATGTATCACATCACGAGGCTTTGTAACTGATTCGCTTTAGGTATTTTCATATGCTCTTGGAAACGTGAACATTGTCATGAATCAGTAGTATGTGTCAAAATTTGTTAATGTTTGCTGTTATTCTGTGGTGTTAATGTCGGTTTTTAAATCAGGTCTCATTGTCCTGTGTGACAGTTGTATGTTTCATCTCTGTTTTCTGTTGATTGATACATATGAATTATTTGAGAGATTGGCAGTTGTTTTATAAGCAGAAATAGTGTTTGCTCCAACATGTTTCAAGTGCTTGTTACTAGTGACATCATTTGTTGTTCTTTGAAACAGATTTTAATTCCTTTTGTTCTTGTGATGTGTGCATTTGAAGCAGTTCAGATAACCACACAGCTGTCATCAAAAGGGTAAGATAAATGTTTAAGAAGCCCCGAGTTTTTCCGTTTTTCATGAATGAGAAAACATTGGAAGATGTTTCATGTGATTGCTATTAAAACCTTGTAACATAAATCATTTATTATAAATCAAGAAAATTTCTACTTTTAGATTTCACTTGTCACTAGAGGAAATCGGTTAATTAGGCCTTTTAGCAGACAAATATGCTTTCTCTGCAGTAAAACATTAGGATATAATTTAAGTTAGTGAAGATTCTCTAAAAATAAAATCATAATTTTAAATACTGTAGTTAATTTTTCATCTCTCATAGGCATAATGGCACCTACAAAAAAATGAAGGACTATCGTTGCAATGGCTTTTGGCTTATTTCTTAAAATGTATTAAACAAATTTGTTAACATTTCATTATATACGGATTGACATAAACTTTTCTGTGTATCAGTAATTTGCAAAAATGCACATTGACCAATGGGTGAGAAAGATTGTGATTTTTAAGATGCTTCTGAAGTAGTCAATCTTCAGCATTCAACATTCTGAAAGAGCAGTTGTCAACCAAGTATTTGCTTTTTTGTAACTCATAAAATTACCTCATCAGCACAGAGATTCTGTGAAGAACACTTATAAATAACAGCTTTATAAGTGAATCAAGCTGGTACAGTCAGTGCTAAAAGATGAATAGTATTAACATAAATTTACATGTTTTCTTGATGAGCTTAAGGTAGAACTTGGTTTAGCATGCTAGTATGTATTCACCATAATTTTTTTAAAGATATCCTTTTACAGCTTAGAAATAGTGAAAATCTTATTTCTAGTTTAAAATAGTCTTTAGTATATTTACATGAATTTAACAGTGAAAACATACTCATCAGTATCATACAGTTAACAGTTGCTCAAATGCAATAAAAACTAGTAAGTAACAATGTGCTTTTCTGCATCTCTGTTAGTAGACAAATTTTCAGAAGGAGTTTTAATTAAGCCTTGTATAAGAAGAACTGGGGGCAATGGGATGAAAACAGGAAACTTACCACTGTGTGTTTGTATACATGTATTTGTGGGCCTGTGTGTGGTAATTCCTGTGTTGAGACTAATGCACTATTAACACAAAGACAGAAAGCACAATTGGTAAAATCCAAGGCTTTAAAAACAAAACAAAACAAACAAACAAAAAAAAAAGTCTTCTCTTTTGACCTTTAAGCCATAAAAGTCATTGACATTTCCCCTGTATATCAGCAGCTCCCATGTTTAATATGCCATCCATTGAACTCAGTGATTCTATTATCATGTTGACAGGTACCTTTGAATCTCTTCTCTTTACCTAACCCATAAAAGCCAGGCTATAACTTCCCTCACTGCTTATCTGCTTCGTACTTGTTCATGTCTTTTCCTCCTGTGCATATATTCACAGTCAGTTTATTTTGTTTCTAAACATCTTAGAAGTTTTAGAAGTCTGGGGGACGAAGAGAATTTTGTTTACATTCTAGTTTTTTATTATACCCCCACTGCCAAGATGTAAGTTGAATGTAGCACACCAGCGAGATGACTCTACCTCTGTTAATCCTTACCCACACCTTAAAATATGTATTAGACAAAGTGAGGTAGAAAAGCCATTATTTTATTTCACATGACTTAAAACGAACTTTTCTAATTATCATTTATTTGTCCTGTTCCTCAGTCTCCGTAACTGGTTCATCATAAAACCATTTTTAATTTGGATACAGGCCATAAAAGGACACAAGATGTGAAAGTTACCTGACAGATGATGGGCTAAGAATGCTTAGGGCTGTGAGCAGTGAACATGCTTTCTGTGTGGGTGGTCTGCTCAGTACCATCAGCAGTCCTGCTTTCTATCCTTCCACCTTTATGGTTTTGCTTTTCTCTCCCTGAGTTACCTGAGGATATGAGGAGATTGTTCACAATTTGGTTCTAATGTATCTAAAGGTGTAGCTGTTACATTGTAAGTAAAAATTTTCCTTTATTTTTTTCAGCCTTTTTCTCATTGTTCTGGTCATATCTGACATCATGGCTTTGGTAAGACACTATTGAATATTTGTAATAATTAAGATCAGGAAACTTAAGTTTTGGGTCCATTTGATTGTGAGAAATAGGAATACATTTCTTTACATGAAATCTTTATATACTTAGTTCTCTGTGATGGCTGTTTACATAGGTACATTCCTTTTTATATTACTTATGCAGAAATTCTTCTTAAGTTGTTAGGTTTTTTTTTTTTTTTCTCATTACTTAAATTATTCAGGCTGTCATTTTATACTTAGTCTTTCCAGTTGTTCTCTTCATTTGTGCCTGAAATGAACCTTTCATAGAGTAACGAAAGAATCCAATTTCAGATTTAGGTAATATGTCACTCTTATTTGAAATACTGATTTTTAGTCCTCTCAGATTAAGAAAGAGAGAAAAAGAGTGAGTAAAGGAAGGAAAAGGGAAATACAGCTTTATCAATTGGGAAATGTTATTAGCTAATAGCTATAATCAATGAATTCTAAGTATGGAACTTAGAGGTGATCTTGCAAACAAAAAGAATGGATCTGTTTTAGATACTATATCTACTTTCAGGTTTGATGATTCTCTAGAAACCATCATAGAACTTGCTGAACCTGTTATATTCTCAGTTCTGGCTTATGACAGTGAGATCATATAGATAAGTCAGCCACAGGAGTTTCTGTGTGTGGGAGAATGCAGAGTTCTCTTGTTTTCTCCAGAGGCATGAGACAGCTATTCCTCAGCACAAAGTGTGACAATACACGTGGAACATTGCCAGCCTAGGTTTTCCTTTCCTTTTTAATGGGCACAGTTGACTGATCATTAATCTCCTCTTTCAAGAGTAGAAATCACACCATTCTGCCCAAAGATCCCATCAGAAATCACGTTTTTAAACTGGTAACCAGTGCTTCAGGCAGAATGCTTTATCAGCCATTCTAAGGGCCTAGAAATCACCTCCCAGTAGCCGAGGGCCATGCCTCTTTGAAGGTATGATTAATACCTAACTATATATATATGTATAGTTATATATATAAAATAATTTGCCATACTAATTGCTGGACACTTGATTTAGATGAGAGCATTTTGTATTTTGTTCAACTCAGTATCTAGTATAGTTTTCAAATTGATCACACATGATGTTAGAACAAAATCAGCATTCACAAAATGACAAATAGGCAAGAAGAGATGAGAATTGGATGTTTCTTGTTGATTTTGTGTGAAGAATCACGCAGTTTAAGTTGACAAACTGCTTTTGATCCAGCTTCATTGACTGGCATGATTTCATATCCCTTCTTTCCTGCTTTCTTTAAACCTGCATCACTTTGAATTTACTAAACTCTGTAATCCTGGTGTTTAACAGTCTAGCCCCTTTGCCCAGAAACAACTTCCACATCTGTCCCTCCAATTTCATCTTTATCTGATTCCTGCTTTTTACTTAGAGTTCACCTTCCTCTATTTCTGTATCAGTGCATGTATGCACACACATGCATTTACACACCTAACAATTTAAATGAATCAGTAGATTATGTATCTTGTGAGAAAATCATCTCTAGACCCTAGCAATGACTGTGATTAATCCATAGCAGAAAGCATCAGCAGATTTTTGAATGATCAGGTCATGTGTCTTCAGCAGGATCGTTGACATTTTTACTATTTTTATTAGAGTTGATTGGTTTTATTTCTTATTATTCACAAACATCACTTTGTTTGAATCATTTGATTGAATCTTAATTCCATTTGTGGCATTTGGGCAATTGCTTATTTAATACAAATAGAAGTTGCAGCTAAGGGCATATCCCTGTGGATTCTGGGCAGAAAATGATTCTTAGGGGTCAGAAGTGTAAAATATTCACCCCTTAAACAACTTTGTTTGTACATTGAAACTAAACAGTCTTTGTTTTTAATGGAGTCATATTATATTATCTTTTACAGCATTTTTTCTTCTTGGTCAAGGATTCTGGCAGCTGGCTTGATATTGGAACCAGGTATTGTACATAGTCACATAGGCTTTCTAAAAGTCGTTTGATATAGGTGCCATTATGACTTTGAGGCATGTTCAGGAAGTATCATAGATCTTATAGCTTTGAGTTGAGACACTTTTTAATTTTTGGTATGAACCACATTAACAGGTATTTTCATGGGATTCTGTGGGCAAGGCAGATGGATGTTTAGTGTGGAGAGAACTGGGACAACAGGACTGTATAAGAGGGACTCATGAAGCTAGTCTCAATGTAACTGTCCAGTGTCCTCCTGTATTCTTATGATCTCCCTATGGCTCCTTGGAAAAGTAAGGCTATTCATACTGCTCTGTGAATTTTATGTATTGGTGTAAATTTCATGCTGTCATTATCTGCCTTGTAGAAGCTTTAAGGGAACATGCTGTTATTTAAATCTGAGCAAGTTAGTTTCTCTCTTTCCAGTGTCTGATTATCACTTACAGTGATCTGTTCAAGGTCTTCTTTCTGAGAAGAAGAAAGCAGCATTGATCCTCCCACCTCCCCCCCCCCCAGTGGATTCTGAGACAGAATATGTTTTTATAAATTGATTTTTATTTCATTTAGTTAATATTTAGTCACACTTTGAGCTTCTAGGAATTTGTGTGGGTTTATGTAAGAGTGTATATTAGACATTACTCTTAAAACTCCCAGCCTGTACCTTTTTGCCTTTCCAGATACACTGGATGCTCTTAGACCTGGGGTCTGATGTGAATCTACATAAGAGCCGCTCATAATGACAGGTTTCTAATGCACACATGAGCAGCACTCATTGAACTTGGTGGGTTATGAAAATAAAGCGGACAGGAATTTAGGAGAGAGGCATGAAGGGAAGATTAGAAGGGGGAAATTGGGATATATATGATCATATTTCATTACATCCAAATACGGAAAAAGAAGTCTGGCATATTGACATATTGCTATAATCCCAGTGATAGGGACACAGAACTGGATGGGGCTTGCTGGGTAGCCAGTATTATGGGATCCATGAGTTCCAGGTTAAAAAAAAAACAAAAAAACAGTGGCAATGGTGAGATCCAACAACAACCATGTATATATGAACATGTGCACAGGCATACTACATACACAGACATATCTCACATACATACACACACATGCATACTGCATACACACACAATCTCAGATGCATATACACAGACACACACAGAGAATGAGAAAGAACACTAAATATACATAGTCCTATGATCTATGATTTGACCACTCAATTTCTAGGTATTTTTCCGAGAGAAGAAAAAATGTACACAGAATGATTTGTAGAGGAGTTTTTATAGCAACTTTTTTTCATAACAGCCTGTTGTGAACTCATGAATGGATAAATTGGTTCTGCTGTATCTAAAGAGTAGACAACTACTTGCCAGTGAAAACAAATGATTGATTGACTCAGCCTTATGAATAGATCTCAGAAACTGCCATAAATGAAAGTAACCAGATATCTAAGGGCATACCGTGTATTGTTTTACCACTTATATAAAATTTCAGACTACATTTCCAGAAAGCTAATGGAAGTCATGGAAGTCTGAGGAGTGTTGGGTTGATACAGAAGAGCATGTGTGAGTTTCTGTTGGGACGGAAATGTTCTAGGTATCTTGAAAACAATGGTGGCTACATGGCTGTGCCATTTGCCAACACTCAACTAATTGTACACTTAAAATAGTTATATTTTCTCACGTGGAACTTTTATCTTAAACTCAGTTGATAAAGAAAACCAGAATTAAGATAATTGTTTAAAATTGAAATGAACATGACATAAAAACAGTTAAATCCTCTTCTCTCCTAGCAGGGTCATAAATTCTTTTTGATTGAGCATCAATCAAATTAGTATCATGAAGATACTAATTCATGATTTGAAGGTCACCACTTTCTAGACAAGCTACAGAGAGAACTAGAGTTGCTTCTTCCAGAAACATGAAGGAATGACATCTTTACTGTTTGCTGTTCCTTTTTCTCATTCTGCATCTTAGCACTCCATTTCCTGCTGGAAATGAAAAGAAGAATGCTTCCCTGGCAGTGGAGTCAGAAAGCAGAAGTCTATGCCTGGGTCACTGTTTGAAGCTTAACTAGAAAGGGGAGGAGACATGTGCAGCATTTGTATGGGGAAACCTTCATTCCTCTTTTTGAGGCGATCTTCATTTCACATATTAATGCATGTGAGGGATATTGTGGTTAGAAGGAGTGAACATTCCTGAGTTCATTCAATCTGATTATCCTCTGGCACAGTAAGTTTCTGAAGGCAATTGGAGAGTCCAAATGGTGTGCAGAGCACTTCCCATAAATTGGAATAGGATTATATGTTGCAGTTCATACCCCATCTACCCAAAGTTGCTTATTTGGAGTGTGTGGACTCAAAAGCAGCATAATGACAGTTCAGGAGCTAGGAGTCCATGTAGCCCAGGCAAAGTAAAAACGACAAAACACTCATATTTCGAAGGTCCAGAATATCAGTCAAAGGATTGCAGAATAACACTTTGCCAAAAATAAACTGCACTTGTATTATGCCATGGTGTGTGCAGTATCTCCCACCACATTATGTCATACTCTTTTCATCCCCACACAAAGAAAAAGTGTCCTCTTACCCAGAAGATGTATCTCCTGTGGAGGCTGCAGTTGGCTCATGATACAGGCCCCTACATGCTTCAGCTTAGACGTAGCACTTTGATAACTGGAGGCTCTGTTTTTCTCACTGTCCCCTGTCCATGTCTGGACTTAGAGAATTTTCAGAGATTGTGCTTTGTAGCAAACTAAGCCTTTTTACAAAACCAACCAAAACTGGGACTTTGAGCTAGCTATGGTGGCCATTCTAGCTACTGAAGACCCTGTGTGAAGATTACAAGTCTAGAAACAGTTTCCACTAAAACTGTGGCTCAGAACTGAGAGAAAGGGGCTGCAGATATTAGCTAGGTGTTAGAATACTTGTAGATGCACAGGACTTGTTTCATGCCCATTGTTGTTTAAAAATGGTGGCTATATGTCTAATGGTATGTGTAATTTTTCCAGAGTGACTGTTCACTGTGAAGTTTTTAATATATCGATTAGGGATTTAAATGGGGAAAGAATGCCATATCTGGATCATATACTGATGCTGGTTTTAGTTTTGAGGAACCTCTGTACTGGTTTTCTTAGTAACTATGCTAAGTTACCAACAGAATCATTTCAAGAATTATTTCCTCCACAACATCCTCACATATTATTTTGTTGTTGTTGTTTTTGTTTTGTTTTGTATTTATGATGAAAACTGTTCTGACGAGGAGAGTAAGAATCTCAATGTTGTTTTGATTTTGCATTTCCCTAGTGGCCAGAGTTGCTGAACACTTTTCTCAGGCAGTTACCACAGTTTATTTTCACAAGTGCCTGTGCAGTTCACTTGCCGGCTTGCTGATTGTGCTACTTGTTCTTTTGCACTGATTGTTGATTTGTGTGTGTGTGTGTGTGTGTGTGTGTGTGTGTGTGTGTGTGTGTGT